CCGGGACTAGAACCCGGTATGCCGGCACTGCAAGGCGGAGGATTAGCCTAGTGAGTCGCGGCGCCAGCCCAGAGAGCTGGATTGTGTGAGGAGCAGCTGGGACTAGAACCAGCGCCCATATGGGATGCCGGCGCCACAGTCAGGGGATTAAGCTACTGTACCACGGTGCCGGCCCCCAAGCAACATCTTAACTGCTGTGCCAACCCCCATCTATTCTTAAAGTCACTGCCACCTGCCCTGGGCCTGGGTTTGGTGAGGCCCCAAAAGAAGGCAAGTCTTCTCCCAGCCCCTTGGCTGGCCTGGCTGCTCTCCTCTGAGCAGGCTCGAAGCTGTGTGTGCCTCTGGCAGCACTGCCTTCCCTGACCAGTGCTGCTCCTGAAGGGGGGGGGGCTGCTCGCAGGAAGGGGTGAGCAGCTCACCGAGCCCCTGAGCCAGCTGTGGGCTGTACTCAGGGCGGCTATGCTGTTGCTCTCCCTTGGGGCTGTGCGTCTGGCCATCTTTCACGAAGAGTTACGTAAGCTTGAGTCAATTGGGGCTCAGAGCGGTTCATTGTGGGCTATTTTTAAGCTGCAACACATCACAGCAGAGGGGTCACTGCACCGCCGGCTTGCAGGGAAGGTTGTTTAAACATCTGTTATTTAAATTTCTCTGTGCCTTGGAGCTCAGACGCCACATCCTCCCGGCACTGATGGGTTCTGCCTTCCTCATCCCAGATTAGGAGTGGATTACTTCCCCCAACCCTGCCACACATCCCTAGGGCTGGGCTTCTCTGTCCCTGGCTGCTTCCTCTGGGGTTAGGCAAGGGGACCGGGGATAGGGAGCAGGTGAGCAGCTCCTTTACAACATGGTCCTGCCTCCGTAGAATGGGTGCATCTGGGCCAAAAGGAATGTCAGGGAAGTCCCCCAGGGCCTGGGGCTCGAAGTCACTTGGGTGGCTCCAGGGAGGAGTGGTCAGGAGAGGAAAGCACAGACAGGGCGCTGAGAGTAGAGCTGAGGCCGAGAGCGTGCCCCTCCCTCTTGGGGGCCTCTGTTCTCCATCAGGACCACGGGGCTTGAGTCACAAGGTCATCCTGGGTGTTCTGCTCCTGCTGGAGTGTCCTCCCCTCTGCAGCCTCTGGGGAGACAGGCCTCAGTTTGCCATCCATTATCAAGTAGATGGCTGCCCTGGGAGCACTTTAAGGCTCCCTTCTGATCCTAGAGTTCTTGAGCTGTCCCGAGCCTTCCTAGGGGCGCGGAGAGGGGAAGGCACGTAGACTGGAAGCTGCCTCCCGAGAACCCAAGGGCGCTGAAAATAGGTCCGGGCTGGAGAAGCAGGTCCGGCAGCCTCAGCCCATCCCAGGGCTCCTGGTATAAGGCAGCCTTCTCTGTCCCTTCCCTTCTTGTCCTTCCTGCTACCTCTCCAGTGTCCTTAGGGTCTGCTAGGTGGGAGGAGGGTACCCCAGGGTGACTCCACCCTCTCCCACATGGCTGCCTGGAGGGCCAAGGTGAGGGAGGAGTGGAAGGCGGGCGGGACTGGGACTTGCCCTCACAGAAGAGGCTCTGTCCAGCTTGGCCCTCAGACTCAGCTCCTTCCAGCTCCTTGCCACCGCGCAGCCCTCAGCTTGGGGAATGGGCTCAGCCTGGGGGAGGGGCTCTCCAGGTTGCCATGGCAACGTGTTGGCCCTCCTCACTTCCCAGAATCAGAAATAGAATTGGACGCCCTTCTTCCTGGTGAGAGACTATTTAAAAACGGGGGGTGGGGGTGGGGGGAGGGCACAGGGGGCTATCCCTAGGGGCTAGGCAAAAGGGGACTGGCCTGCTGCCCCTTCCTGTAGCTGAGATGAGAACGGCCTTCAGCCAGCCAAAGACTCTGAGTGCAAAAGACTCAGCCTGGCCCCATGGGGTGAGCACCTGGCCGGTGCTCAGAACCACCAGGTTCTTGGGAGGGTACTGGCTTAGTTGGCACCACCAGGGAAAGTACCAGAACTATCTGCTAAGTTATGGGGAGGAGGAGTAGGGCCTTGCAGGACTCAGCGGGGTGTGGGGCTTGGGGTTGCAGCGCCCAGAGGGGAGGCACAGTGGCTCTATTCCAGCAAGGCCCATGCTCACGTGGCACCCAGTGGTGGCACCACACTTCCTGATGTGTGGGTCCAGAGCGGTGACCTGGCTCTGGATTCTGGTTCTACTGTGCACTAGCGAGACAGACCTCTCTCCCACTCTGCTTGATTTCCTCATCTATAAGAAAGGTGTGGTAGTGCCCAGCTCGTTGAATGGCCAGGAGGCTGGGTTACACATGCTCTACCCTCAGCTGGCCCCAGGGGAAAGGTCCAGTTGATATCAGTCATTGTGATATTCCCAGAGGAGGTGCTTGCTTCCCGGGGGCGGGGGTGGGGGAGGCCATTCTCTCCTGGTTGCCTCCTGTAGCTCCTCCTTGGTTGGCAGCTCCTTCAGCCAGCTCTGCTTCCTGCCCCTAGGAGACCCTGGGCCAGCTGCTCACAAAGGACCCCAGACCCAGAAAACAGGGCTATGCCTCACCTGTGCAGGTGGTGGAGGAAGACCCAGTGGTGAAACCGGCTGGGGGCTTTTAGGGCCTCCCTCTGCCTCCCCACCCCTCCCAGGGGCAGTCCAGCTCAAATGCCAGGCAGCAACAAGAGACTGCTACCAGCATCTTTGTGAGGAACAGCAGCACAAGAAATAGCTTGCCCGGGCCAGAGACAGATGAAGTGAAGAGTGCTCAGCAAGCATGCGTGCCCAGGACACACACTCACACACACACACACTCACACACACACACTCACTCACGCATGGGCCAAGACCCTGGGGCCCAGCACCAGGGTTCGAGTTCCTCCTGGGTGTCCAGGGCCATCTGTCCCCGTTCACCGAAGGCAGCATCTGGGGAAGGGGGCGGGGCCCAGGGGCTGACTCTGAAAGGTGCAGGTGCAGCACACCGTTGAGCCCTGGTCCCTGGCCACAAAGCCGCACCCCGCCCCCGCCCCGGCCTGCCACAGGTGCGATTGCTAACCTCTGTGCAGACACACTGCTTCTGAGAACAAGCCCACGCTGCCTGCTCCACAACCCTGTTTCCTAGCGGAAAGACTATAGTCTGAAAGGCCACAGGCCTGGACGAAAAACCAAGGATGCCGGGGCTCAGAGCTGGGAGGAGGGAGAACCACGGAAGTGGGTGACTCTCAAAAGTGCTGCCCACAGGCGGCCACTGTGCCACAGAGGGTTCAGTTGCTGCTTAGGACATCCACATTCCATATCAGAGTGCTGGGGTTTGAGTCATGCCTCTGCTTCTGATCTAGCTTCCTGTTAAGGTGCACCTTGGAAACCAGGAAGTGATGGCTAAAGTTCTGCAGTGCTGCCATCTCATGTGGGCACCAGTTCGAGTCCTGGCTGCTCCACTTCTGATCCAGCTCTCTGCTATGGCCTGGGAAAGCAGTAGAAGATGGCCCAAGTCCTTGGGCCTCTGCATCCGCATGGGAGACACGGAAGAATTTACTGGCTCCTGGTTTTGGATTAGCATAGCTCCAGCTATTGTGGCCATCTAGAGAGTGAACCAGTGGATGGAAGACTCTCTCCCTCTCTCTCTCTCTCTCTCTCTCTCTCTCTCTCTGCCTCTGCCTCTCTGTAACTCTGCCTTTCAAATAAATAAATGAATCTTTAAAAAAAAATAAAGTACTTGGGCCCTGGAGTTCTGAGCTCCTGGACTCAGCCTGGACTAATCCAAGCTAATTGCAGAATTTGAGAGTTAACTAGCAGATGAAAGATTTCTCTGTTACCTGCCCTTCAAATAAACAAAAACAAAATGAAACAAAACATAAAACCCTGCTGCCTAGGCCCATTCTGTGTCTGAAGACTGCTCAGATAGCTCTGGGCCTAGGCTGGGGGTCCTGGCAGGTCCCATTCCTCCCTGGCTCCCTTTTCCCCACCTAAAAAATGGATCTTTAAAAAAAAGAAGAAAAAAAGAAAGAGGGGCCGGCGCTGTGGTATAGTAGGTAAAGCTGCCGCCTGCAGCGCTGGCATCATATATGGGTGCCAGTTTGAGTCCCAGCTGCTCCTCTTCTGATACAGCTCTCTGCTATGGCCTGGGAAAGCAATAGAAGATGGCCCAAGTCCTTGGGCCCCTGCACCCACATGGGAGACCCAGAAGAAACTGCTGGCTCCTGGCTTTGGATCGGTGCAGCTCCGGCCATTGTGGCCATTTGGGGAGTGAACCAGCAGATGAAAGACCTCTCTCTCTCTCTCTCTCTGCCATCTGCCTCTTTATAACTCTGCCTTTCAAATAAATCTCTCTCTCTCTCTCTTTTTTTTTTTTTTTTTTTTTTTTTTTTTTTTTTTTTTTTGACAGGACAGTGAGAGAGAGAGACAGAGAGAAAGGTCTTCCTTTTGCCGTTGGTTCACCCTCCAATGGCCGCCGTGGCCAGCGCGCTGCAGCTGGTGCACTGTGCTGATCCGAAGGCAGGAGCCAGGTGCTTCCCCTGGTCTCCTATGCGGGTTCAGGGCCCAAGCACTTGGGCCATCCTCCACTGCACTCCCTGGCCACAGCAGAGAGCTGGCCTGGAAGAGGGGCAACCGGGACAGAATCCAGCGCCCCGACTGGGACTAGAACCTGGTGTGCCAGCACCGCAGACGGAGGATTAGCCTATTGAGCCGCAGCATTGGCCATAAATAATCTTTAAAAAATAAAAATAAAAAATGGAGGGTGGGGGTGGGACACTGTAGTGCAGTGGTTAAACCGCTGTTTGAGGTACTTACATCCCATATCAGAGTGCTGGTTCAATTCCCAGCCGCTACATATTCCAGTCTGGCTTCCTGCTAATGTACCTGGGAGGCAGCAGATTTTGACCCAAGTACTTGTGTTTCTGTCACCTACGTGGGAGACCCAGATGGAGTTCTTGGTGCCTGATTCTGGTCTGGCCTAGCTGTGGCTGTTGTGGGCATTGGGGGGGGGGGGGGGTAGACCTCAGTGGATAGGTCTCTCACTCTCTCTTTCTCCCTCTTTTTGTGTTGCTCTGCCTTTATTTTAAAATAATTGGAGGGTAGAACTGCCAACTGGGTTTGTGCCTGCCCTGTATTTGCTCCTTTGGTCCAGTCTGTCCTTCCTACATGTGCAGCTCTGTGTCTGCTTGTGCTCAGTTCTACACCCATTATGTTACCACCGTGTGGCCAGACCTAGGCCCACCATGCCCCCACTATGTAGCCAGTCTTATGCCCACATTGTCCCCACTGTGCCCCATCCCGTAATTGCTACTCGGCTGGCCCTGTAGCCACTGTGACCTAGCCCTGTGCCTGGCACTCTGGTCCCCTTACGGCCAAGGTGAAGCTGACACAATGGGATAAGAACTAGAACATTCTGATTTGAGGATTCTGAACAGGGGTCCCACCCCCACCCCTACCACGCTGTCCCTACCCCTATGGGATATTGGTGCTGGGCTTCAGGGACATGTGGCTCTGGGGAGGGGGTTCTATGAGGCACAGGCAGAGGAGAACCATCTGGAGCAACAGAGATTGCCAAGGAGCTACTGTCCCTGGAGCGGGAGCTGGGGAATACAGGGGAGGAGAGCTTGGGCCTGAGCCCGAGCCCCTCATTTTCTTCTTCTGTCTCCCAACTAAATGATAAATAGACCCCACCACCACCCTTCAACAGAGCTGCGGGCTTCCTCAGAGTCTCCTCTGCCTACCTTTCTCCCTGGGTGTGCACTGGTCCCCCAAGGCACTGTTCCCACTCTAGGGCTGCCCTTGGCAGAGTAGTCACACTGCCAGTAAGGGGAGAACAAGCTGACCTGCGGCCAACTAACTTCACTGGGCTCCCTGGGACTCTCTGCTTTCCAAGGTCTCCTGAGAAGGCCTCCTTTCCTCAGGGGGTGGGGCCCCTGGTTTCCCACACTCTGTCACCACCCCCAGGTCACTGGGGGCTATGATGTGTGGGGTTGCCATGGCAGTGAAGTGGGGGCAGGGCACCTAGGGCATGGAGCAGGACTATGGAAGCCACCAAGAAGGTGGGGGGCCCTGATCCATCGGGCCCCCAGGGCCACCCCTTGGTCAGCAGCCAGCATCTGGGGGGTAGTCTCAGAAGGTCCCAGGGACCATGGGTAAGCCTAGGATCTCTATACTTCAAGCAGGGTTTGTCACTGTCTAACGAGACTGTCACTGAAGGGGCCTGTGGCCCCATCTCCCAGGCCCACTTCCCTGAGCCCATTCACCAGCTACTCCAGGACTCTGTGCAGGTCGGCTCCCAACGTGACAGTGAGCAGGCTTCCCAGGATGCCTCGAGACTCTCTTCCACCAACCCGTTTCCGAGTCCCATCATGGGAGCCCAACAGCATCTCAACATGGAGGAAGGGACCCTGTTACCTGTGTGCAGGCACAGTGGCAGCACCAGTGACGTGGCCCAGCATGAACCCTGCGGCCCCCGACTTCAGGTGCAGATTGGGAGGGAGGTCAAGGCTCCTGCCAAAGTCCTGGTGGGCTGGGGCAAAGGGCCCTGCAACCCTGACCAGATGGCCCCCATGGTCACCAGGAAGAATCGGTGGCTGCCCTATTTCCTCTCAGCAGAGGATGGTCTAGTCGAAAGCCAACGTCCTCTTCTGGCTCCAGCTCAGGCTCTAGCTCAAGATCAGGGCCAGGGCAAGCAGCCAGGTCCAGCTCAGGCTCCTACCCTGTCTAAAACTTCTTTTCTGTCACTGGCTCCTCCGGTGACTCCAGCGGCTCCAGCTCAGGTGACCACTCCAGCTCTGGATGTGACCCCGACGCCCGCTACAGCTGAACCTCGCACCCTTGAACCCCTGAATGAAACCAGTGCGGTCACCAAGGGCCTGTCTCAAGACCTCCTCCTCAGGAGGTGTGGCAACCAATGGTCAGTCCTCGTGGAGTCTTCCAAAGTGGTCACATCTTGCCAGGACAAAGTGAATTTTCACTCTAAAGAGGAGACTTCCACCGTGACACCTACTCAAGAAACATTTGTGGAGCATGTCCAGGAGTGTGAGTGTGAGGTTGTCAGAAGGCAGGTGACACCCGAACCACCTGAGAAGTTGGTGGAGAAGCCCCCGGTCTACACCTCTAGGCCTGGCAGCCCAACACCAACTGCAAAGGCCCCAGAAACCCCCAAGACCCAGAAGAGTAGCCAGGAGATCTGCAGCTCTCAGCCAGAGAAGCAGCCACCTAATATCTGCAGCAAGACCTGCACCAGTGTGCCGCTGTCTGCCTACCAGGTCACCTGCCACAAGCAGCCTCCACCCCAGTTTCCCAGAGAAGCCATTCAGATCCCTGCCTCCAGTGCCCCCACCTGCCAGCTCCGAGAAGCTGTGGAAGACCGTGTGCTGGTGTTTGATATGGCCACAGGCAACACCAGGATAGGGCTGCTATGCCATGACCCTATGGGCTCCCGGGCAGTGCTGGTGGGCCTCATGCCCAGCCCTCCATCCATCTATGCTTCTGACACTTTGCTGTCTACCCGGCCACTGGCCAGGCCCATTCTCTCCCCTGACAGCAATCACTCCAACTTCTGGTCCACCACGCCCATGCTATCCAGCCCTGTGCCCTCCAGCCTCTCATCTGGTAGTTACCGAGAGGTAGCCCTGGTTCCCAAGGAAGCCAGGCTCAACCTGGAGTCACGGAACTCCACTGGTTCTGAGTCACCCATCAGAGTTGGGATGCTCGCTGGGCCTGTTCCCCTTGGGATGCCGCTCCAATTTGGTGAGAGGATACTGACACATGTTCCCGACCCTGGCTGGGCCAAACCTGATCCTGAAAAAAATGAACCTAGTCGCACCATCTGGATGCTGGACTCCTCCAGGGTGCCAGATGCCCCCATGATCCAGGCCAAGAAACTACAGTGGATGAATTCAGAGTCTGCTTCAACAACCAATGCACAGCCGGCACCTGGCTCTCTGCTCCAGGAGGATTTATCCAGCCAGAAACAGAAAGAGGTCGTTACTGCTCACCCTGATAGCTCTCACCCCAAAGATGCTGGGCAGGTCTCTCTTTCTGGTCAGACTTTCCTCAGTGGGCAGACCCTGCTTGCTGGACAGACACCGCTAACTGGCAAGCCCTCGGGCACCAAGCAGGACGCCCCTCCCGGCCTGCTCCCTCTCACTGGGCAGATCCCTCTTGCCACAGAGCTTTCCCTCACTGGGCAGGTGCCCCTCACTGCGAAGCCCCTCATCGTCAAAGAGCCCCCCCTCTCAAGAGGGCCCCCCACCACTGGGGGTCCTGGCCAGCCCTCTGCCCAGGAAGGTGAGCCCTTGGACCTGCCTGCCCATGTTGGGGTGCTTCGGGTGCCCCTGGCCCCCGAGGAGACCTGTATCTATGTGAGCAGAGACAAGGCTGGCATCAGCAGCACCCAAAGCACCAGCATGCATCGGCTCTCATCCTGGCAATCTGGCAACTCCCGTGGGGCGCAGGAGGAGCAGCTTTCCTTAATCACGTTTACCACACCTGGCAAGGTCTTGCCCATGGCCATAGTGGATGCTGAGCCCCAGAACGCCCGGTTCAAGCTGACACCAGAGGACATTACACACTCATCCATGGTCACACACCTCGGCCTGCTCCATGGCGCCTGCTATGAGCTGGTGTCCACCATGGACGCAGTACCAGTGCAGTCACCAGTGCTCTGCCGCCACTCACTGGGCCCCTACCAAAACATGGCGGCTGTGGTGATTGACACAGGCACAGGATTCACTAAATGTGGACTGGCTGGGGAGGATCACGTTCTCAACGTGGTCCCTTCCCGAGTCCAGCTGCTGCAGCACCCGGTCCAGGGCCAGCCCCGGTACGCAGTACCCGAAAACCAAGAGGGCTCCTACCCGATGCTGAACAGAGGGGTGGTCTCTGACTGGGATGCGCTGGAGGTGCTGTGGCAGCACCTGTTCTACTGCAGGCTGGGCGTGCAGCCCGAGGAGCTGGCCGTGCTCGTGGCCGACTCGCCCATCTCACCACGGACCAATCGAGAGAAGGTGGCCGAGATCCTGTTTGAGCGCTTCCGAGTGCCAGCCATGCAGACTGTGCACCAGGCCCTACTGGCGCTCTATGCTTACGGGCGCACCACCGGGCTGGTGCTGGGCAGTGGCCATGGCACTTCGTATGTGGCGCCCATCCTCACTGGGGACCTGGCCCCACTGGATACCTACCGGCTAGATGTGGCCGGCGGGGACCTCACTGACTATCTGGCTCAGCTGCTGCTGGCCACTGGCCACTCACCACCTAAGGCAGGGCTGGTCAACCAGATTAAAGAGGCCTGCTGCTACGTGGCCATGGATATGACGGCCGAGATGGCCCGTACCCAGGCCCAGGCCCGAGTGGACTTTGTGCTCCCGGATAAGCAGGTTATCACGCTGGGCTCCGAGCGATTCTGCTGCCCTGAGGCCCTCTTCCAGCCTAATCTGCTGGGCCTCAACCAGCCCGGCCTCCCGCAGTTGGCCCTGCTAAGCATCAGCCGGCTGGAGGCCAAGCAGCAAGAGCAGCTGCTGGCCAATGTGGTGCTGGATGGAGGCAGCACCCTGCTGACGGGCTTCCCTGAGCGCCTGAAACAGGAGCTGGGCCCCAGTGCCACTGTGCTGAGTTCTCCCCACCGTGCAGTGGCCGCCTGGCTTGGGGGCTCCATCATGGCGTGTCGGGAGTCCTTCCAGAGCCTGTGGCTCAGCCGTCGTGAGTACGAGGAAGAAGGCCCATGGGCTATCTACAAGTACCAGCTGTAAGCACATAAAAGTTCTGGTTCTGCTTGCATTAAGCATTGTGGCGTGTTTCTGGAAAAGTGTGGTGTGCAGGAAGCAGGAGTCCAGATCTGGGACTCAGGGGCCCTGGCAACCTGCTCTTTCTGGGGAGTCCCATAGCCCCTTGGCTGGCATTGGCTCTGATCTGGCCTGACCTTTACTGCACCCCAAGGGCAACTACAGAGAGTGGCTGCTGTGGGTTTTACCCTGTTGCCCTGACGACAAGCGCAATTACCCTTGATTGCCAGCTAGTTGCCATGGCAATTTCAAACATAATGTAATAACCCACACAGCTTGGAGTGAGTCATGAGATGGGGGTTGGGGGAGCAGCCCCCTCCCCTAGCTCCAGAGGGAAAGACTGCTTGCCCTCCCCCATTTGGAGCCCTCTTCTGGTGGCTGAAGCCAACCACATGCACAACATGGACAACAGCTGAGCAGTTCCAAAGATGGCTGGGGCCCGCAGTGTTGGCCTTGAGGGTCCCCTCAGAGTTTTGGTCCTTGGGAGTGCTGGCCTGGTAATACACGGACTTCCTGGAGGCAGACTTGACTGCAGCTCTATTCTGGAGAGCAGGGGCTTCCGTGGACTTGCCGGAGTAGGAGGGGGTCAGGGTACTGGCTCCCGGTTGTCAGGGGCAGGGAGTGGAAGGGGCAGATTAAGTCCTAGATCCTGGTCTTGGGTGGTGGCCCAAGTCGAGCTGAAGATGAGACTCGGGCTGCTCTGTAGCCTTTAAGGATACTGAGCTCACATTTGATCCTGCCCCTCTGACTTTCTAGCTTGGGTGGGAGCCAGAGCTATAAGCTTCAGACTCCTCCTCCCCCAGCCTCCCAATCTGGCCAGCCCCTGCTTGCAGGGCGGCCAGGGTAAAGGCTTCCTCCAGAGGGGTCTCATAGAGGTTACTGGGCAATGCCAATACCAATAGCCTCTGTCAAAGTGCCTCCCACCATTCCTCTGACCAATGGGAGAGGGGCAGCAGTGGAGTAGGGGAGGGTTGGTTAGCTAGAAGCCAGTCCCCTGACCCTGGCTGGTTCTGGATAGGGGGTGTGAATGAAGCTCAACAGTGACCCAGACTGTGGCCTGGAATTATGGGAGGGTGGCATTCAGCAGGCATTATTACTCCCTGTCCAGACAGAGCTGAAAACACTGAAGCTCATCCCACCGGCCTGCGTGTACTGGGCTGAGGACCACACCATGCCCGCGTATACTGGGCTGAGGGCCACAGCATGCCCTAGCCCCGTCCCTGGGTTCTTGTCTTCAGGTTGCCCTGCACAAACAGCAAAAGGCCTGTCTACCCACGCACATGCCCCAGAGCAAGGGGCTGCCTGGTGGGGTGCTGGAAACAGCTGATGGTGTTGGCGTCCCAGACCCTGCCTGCTGTTGGCATGGTTCAGCTGCTTCCTGTGTCCTGCTCTTAACAGCCTGTTTCAGCCTCCACAAAACTGAGACTTGTGTCAGGCAGGAAGGGGACTGGCAGCTCCAGGGACCAGCTACAGCATCCATGTACACGTGCCAGGAAGCACGCCTGGGTGCCCGTGGAATGCAGACACACGTGCCCCTGGGCACTAGTGCACGCACATTGCGCTGTTGCCATTCTCCTCAGTGTAAGAGAGCACACACACATACACGTGTGCATGCACACCCTACCATGTGCTCTCACCCACGTGCACAGAGTGTGCACGGAACCCAGAAGAGGTGGAGTACTGCCAGCAGCAAGCAGGGCTCCAGTGAGCCACCCCTTCCCCCTGCCTTTCCGTCCCCATCCCAGCTTCTCCTCAGCCCCACTGCCTGGATAGCATGACTCTCAGGAAAGAAAATGTGTGTGTCCTGTGTGGGGTCAGCAAACCATGGCTTGGCTGTGCCATACAACTCACAGACCCATTGTTTTCAGAACAGTGGGCACTTGGCAGGGAGGGCTGAGCGCCAGGCCACTCATTCATTCTGCAGACGTTAGCTGAGCGTGGTGAGATGAGGTTCCTATCCAGCCACGGGGTTGGTGCTGTGATCAAGATCACCCAGAGCCCACGCTGCCCCAAGGCAGACACAACCTGGCCCGGAGGAGATGACCCAAAGCCAAGGAAGGCTGTGAAGGGGGCTTCTCACTGTCTCTCTGGAGGAAGGCTTTGAGTGGCCTTGTTGGGGCAGCCACTTCCCAGGCTAGCCTTCCAGCCTCAGGACCAGCTTCTTCCCTGGATGGTCCCTCCATCAGCAGCCATGTGTCGCCATGCAGGGGAACATCACTCTGCAAAGAGGAGGGTTTGGGAATGACCCTGTTTCTTCTCATCCAGAGGCAGAGGCAAAAGGCTCACTGGGTGGGGTTGGAAAGGACGAGCCCAGCTCCAGACATCGAAAGAGCCAAGTCCGGCCTTTGGACTCTGACCAAAGGATGGTCCTCAAGGCTTGAGAAGACTGGGGCAGGCACTGGGCCCAAGTGGACCCAGCGCCTGCCTGGCAGAAGACAGATCAATGGCCAAGGATATCCTTCAAACTTTCCTCCCAGCAGATCTGAGCCTCCAGGTAGGAGACAGGCTTGGTGAGGCATGGTGGTGCCACAGTTCTCCTGTGTTCCCGTACCGTAGCCCAGGCCACTTAGGAAGCTGCTGTTCTCAAAGTGTTAGAGGGTGATTAGATGGGGAGGAAAGCAGTCTGTGTCACATCATATGTGACTTTCATAGTTTGGGAAATTCAGTGTCACAAAAGAGAGGGCAGACAAGGCACCTTTTTTTAATTTGTTCATTTGAAAGGCAGAGAGAGCGAGAGAGACCTTCCACCTGCTGGTTCACTCCCCAAATGCTCACGACAGCCAGGGCTGGGCCAGGCTGAAGCCAGGAGCCAGGAACTCCGTCCAGGTCTCCCACGTGTGTGGAAAGTACTTGAGCCACCATCTGCCGTCTCCCAGGGTGTCCACTAGCAGGAAGCTGGGCCTGAAGCAGAGCTGAGACTTGAACCAGGCGATGGACATGAGAGGCTGGCATCTTAAGGGTGACTTAGGTGCTGAGCCAAACGCCTGCCCCTGCCTGTGACTTATGATTGGGAGACTTTGGCTTGCAAGAGTTGGGGGTAAGGGAGATAGAAGGCTGTGCTACCATACAGGGTTACATGCTGCCCACTTGCATACACCACGTGTGTTTACCACTCGTCAGGGGAGGCCCCTGTGTACTGCCCAGCGACTGTCCATGCAGTCCCTCTACATGCGACCTGCCCTTTGAGTCAGGAACCCTCCGAAACCCCCACTCCCCCAGATTACTGCCTGCCAAGATTTAAGTGCAGCTCCAAGACTAAGGCTTTCTCCCCATTCCCACCACCCCCCACCCCGGCCCTGGGCGCCAGGAGTCCAAGGGGCTAAGGGAGCTGTTGAGAGCCTGGCTGGGGCTGGGCAGGCCAACGTTCACCAGCTCTGAGGCTAGCCAGTGGGCGCCTGCCCTCGAGTGGGACTCCAGCCTCCGGCTCCTCCAGGGTCGGGGCGGGGCCGGCTGAGAGGCCCCGCCCCCAGCCCGCCCCCGGCCCAGGGTGCGAATCCGGTGCGGGCGAGCGACTGGCGATGCTGGAGGTTCGTGAGCCAAAGCGGCTGCAGCTGGCGCCGCGTCTGCCCCGCGTGCCCGGAGCGGATTCTGCCCGCCGCCCACGGACCCCTCGGCGCCCTGCTGAGCCCGCGATCCTTTCCTCCCTGTGACCAACCGGCGCTGCAGGTGCGAGGCGGGCCCGGCCGGGCTGGGGTGGGGTGGGGGGGTGCCTCCTGGATGCATGCTGTGGGATTTTGGGGAATTGTTCCCCCGGCTCCAGGTTCTGGGCGCAGAGTGCGCGGGGGAGCTGCGAGGGTTCGAAGTCCCCGCGGGGGCAGAACGCGCGGGCTCTGCAGATCCCGGGGGCGGCGTGCGGGGTCGGGCTAAAGTTCCTCATTGCCTCGGACGGCTCCAGGGCCCCAGGGGAAGCCTCTGCGGCTCCGATTGTAATAACATTTAACCCTCGAAGATTCGTGGTGCCCCGTGAGGGTAGGGGCCATGAGCCGAGCCGTCCCTCCCCGCTCCCTGAGCCGCTCCGGCCCCTCCCAACTGCCCCCGGGTCCCCTCCCTCCCGCTTAGCAGTCACTAATTTCCATGACAACGGAGAGTTCTTTCTGGGCGACAACCCGGAGGGGGCTGGGCGGGGCTGCTGCGGGGTGGGGGAGGAGGCCCCAAGACCCTGGGGACTAGCAGTCCCCTAGCCACGATCCGGTTTTCCAGCCTTCACGTGAGGGCCAGCCTGGGGGTCCAGCGCACCGACGCACGTGCGCGGTTTCGGGGGGAGGGGCGCACATGTTCCTGCTGGGAGCTGCGGGCTTGGTGCTCACACGTGTGCCTCCCGCATGTGTGTTGCTGTGCCAGCGGGGGCGAGCCAGCAGCACTGAGGAAGGGGGTCAGGGTGGCGCCACGGGGAAGAGCAGGGCCCTAGGCTGGTGGTGGTGTGTAGGGAGGGGACAGATAAAGCCCTGAACTTCTGCCCTCCCCAGGCTGTACTGCCTGGTAGAGACCCTGGGCTCTTGAGTCCCACTCCCCACCCCCAAGTAGCTCTGACAAATTGCTTTTGTCTGCACCCCCCAGGCAGAGTCTGCTCTGCCAGGTTCCTTCCTAGGAGTAGGGCCCGCTGTCCCTCACCAAAACCTGAGCCTGCATTCATCCATCCCCTGGGCTGCCCCTCCCAGATGCAGGTATTGAGTCCCCCAGGCCCACCATCAGAGACCTGGCGCCCTCCACCCCTGCCAGCTCCAGCATCTGAGACTCAGTTTACCCCACTGGGAGGTTTGTGTGTCCCCTTCCCTCAGAGTCCGGCTGCTCTCCCCAGGGTGGGGCTAGGGTCCCTTCCATTCCCTCTGAGCACAGGCGCCTGGGCTGGCCCCTCAGGGATCTGCAGCCTCCCTTCCTCTCCACTCCATGCCTGCCCACACTCCCCGGCAGGCAGGCAGGCAGGCTTCCACCCTGGGAGGCCGCAGGGTCCCTGATTTCTGTTCGGGGAAACTGAGGCATGGGGACGGGAGGGGTGATGTGGTTGTTCTGCTGTTTCTGGGTTGCTTAGGGAGCTGCTTCTGGCCCTCCTGGTAGGGTGGATGTGACAGGATTAAGCTGAGCTGTAAGAGAGGCTCTGGGGACCTCGGGCCTGAGAGGATGGCAGATGGTGGGTCTTGACTGGGCCAGCTGAGAGGAGCGATGGATCCTGAAGGAGTCTTCATCTCCATCCTCCATGCTTGTGCCTTCGACACGTTGGATGTACCCTAAGCTGCCGCAGTGGCAGGGAGAGGGGTTGGGGAACCGTCCTGACCGGGGGGGCTGCAACAGTTGGCTTCTTCCCCACCAGGAGAGCCCAAGAAACTGGCTGCTTTTTGGCTGTGCCTCCCACACCAAGTTCAGTGTCTGTCTGGGGGAAATAGGAGGATTCAGACTTGAAGCTCCTGGCCCAGGGGTTCAAAAACACATAGCCATCAGGCCTTTGGGCTTTGACAGGCACCCATGGGCCCGTTCAGAACCCCCTATCCCCTCCACCTCCCTCCTTCCTCTCTCTTGTGTCTGTATCCCTTTTACCCTTCCAGCACAGCTTCTGCTTTTGTCTGTGTCTCTGCCCTCTCTCTCTCTTTTCTAATGTCTCTGTCTCTCCACCTCCCCTTCTTTGATGGGGACCAGGGTTACAAGAACCCATGGGAGCAGCAGCCAGACCAAAGTCTCAGGAAATTTTTTTTTTTTTTTTTGACAGGCAGAGTGGACAGTGAGAGACAGAAAGAGAGACAGAGAGAAAGGTCTTCCTTTGCTGTTGGTTCACCCTCCAATGGCTGCCCTAGCCGGCGCACCGGGCCTATCCAAAGGCAGGAGCCAGGTGCTTATCCTGGTCACCCCATGGGGTGCAGGGCTCAAGCACTTGGGCCATCCTCCACTGTACTCCCTGGCCACAGCAGAGAGCTGGCCTGGAAGAGGGGCAACCGGGACAGAATCCGGCGCCCCGACCGGGACTAGAATCCAGTGTGCCGGTGCCGCAAGGCAGAGGATTAGCCTACTGAGCCGTGGCGCCGGCCTAGGAAATCTTGAAGAAGGGACCTGGCCAACACCTCTCCCTTCCCCCTTCCCTGTTTTAAAACTTCCGTCACCATAGCAACCCTTTACTCCAGTGCCTTCCTCTGCATTTCCCCTCCTCCAACCACAGTGGAGACTCTGCTCCAATAGATTCTGGGGCTCAAAGATTGGGATCCCAGGTGCCTGGGAGGGGCCAAGGAGCTGTAGACTCACCTGCTTGTTGAGGGTTGAACTTTTTGGAGGTAACACCAGACTCTCTAAGGCTGGGAGGGATCCCTCCCTCCATATTCCCTCATTAGGTTGGGGGACAGTCAGTCCCTGGGGTTGTTGACTGTTTTTCGTGGAGCTTGAGGCCCAGCCAGGGGATCCCCTACCCAATCTCCTGAAGCTGTTGGAAAGTGGGCTATAATCTTGGCCCTGCCTCCTGACACCGGACTTTGTGAGTGAGGTCCCCAAGTCCCCTGGTCCTCTGGGTGAGGGCTCGACTGTGAGCAAGGCAAGGCTTGGGCCTGGGCATGTCCACGGGAGCAGGAAACTCAGCTCCAGTCCCTGAGAGAAGACAGCAGGGGAGGGGAGGGATGCCTGCAGGCTGGAGTTCACAGCTGCCACTAAATCGGGAGGTGTTGCCTACAGTCATTGGGAGGCGGTCAGAGGCCTCCTGGGCCCCTCCTGGCCTTCCTAGATCCACTGCAAGCTCTGCAGCCCCACATAGCAGGAGACCAGGGCAGCGGGAAGCTCCTGTGTATGGTTATGACCCAGTGCGGGAGACTATAAGACCCTGATGAGGGGCCTCTTGGCGTCTGTCCCACGTGGGCTTTTCCTGTCCAGACTTCCTGAAGATGCACTGGAGCCCCTAGGAAACCTTTGTAACTGCAGCACCGCCCACAGAGGCTCCCTCGGGATAGCCTGAGGCTGGATTCCCTGAGCCCAGTGGTCAGTCCCCAGGAGCAGGCAGAGACCAGGGAGCACTTGGCTCTCCAACTCCCTGAGAACCAGCTGGAGGGCAGTGGCAGTGCCGGGTTCTGTACTGCCCCCACCCAGCCTCCCTTTGGCAGCCCCGATGCATGCTGTTTATTTCTTCTGCAGTGAGTGGGGGGAGCTGTGACCTGGGAAAGAGCTGCTGTGACGGGACTCCTGTGTACTTCCATGGCCCTGTGCAGACCTGCCTGAGGTGGGGCCCAGGTCCTGTGTTGCTGGGAGGAGACCTGTCTCCTGTTGGGTGTTGGGTCTGGGCCACGGGGGCGAGTTTGAGAAATGCAAACCTCTTTCTGCTTGGCCTCCCACTGCTCTTAGAACTGTCCTTCGGCTGCTCCTCCAGCTTCAGGGCCAAGGTCCCCCTTGATGTTCTTGGTGCACATACCCACAGCTTCCCAGCTAGCGTGAGTGGGTAGCAGATGGTAGAGTGGGTGGGGGTGGGACCGAGGTGCTAATTGCAAGCATGGCCCCTCTTTCTCCTCTTCTCACCCTAGGGCCAGTGAATGGTGAGAAGGAGTAGTAACTGGCTGAGATCAGTACAACCATGATGGGGGTGGGGGTGGGGGCAGATCTGTGCTTGTCCCAGCCTTGAGGCCTGCAGGACCTGTTGGATCCAGGTTGATGTTACTGTGAACAGAAGCTCAGCTTTCTGTGGTAGAGAGAGACCCCACCCCACCCCAGGTGCCTGTGGCCATGAGTGCTTATGCATAATCAAAAGCTGGGGCCAGGTTCAGGGACAAGCATATGTGAAACCTGCCACCCACACCACGCTGGCAGAGCCAGGAGCTGTTGGAGTGGGGTGAGAAGTGGAGGTTTGGAAGTATCACAGAGAAGGGCCATTTTGAGTCTGGCCTTGGAGCATCAGAATTGTATGAGACAATTTGTTGTACAACCAACCTCCTAATGCCACAAATCGCAATGAGAGGAGAGATTCAGCCTAGGTCTTAGCACCTTGCTCCTGCGGAGGCTGCTGCACAGGGAAGCCAAGGTGGGCAGCACCCTGGCCAGGGCCCACACTTCCTGCCATTGAAGAAATGCAGTTGAGCTAGCGAGTCACCTGTTGGATGCTGAGGTAGTTGCCGATTTTTTGTTAATGTTATAAATAACTCTGCCGTGACAAATAGGATTCTGATAGGAGGCTTTGGGGGAAGGGCGTTCCTGCTAGGGGAAATGGCATAAGCAAAGCGACAGAGCTGGCGCACAGGAGTTTCCTAGCCCTCCCGGGAGACCTGCAGGCTCAGGTGCCACCCTCCTGCCTCGTGCACGGCCCTCGGATTCCAGCCTCGAAAGGGAATGGCTGCCCTTTTGTGCCAGTGAAGGGCTGCAGTGGGCCCCTTCCCCCCAAGATGTTATGTGTGGAGCTGGGTGACCAGCAGTGGTGGGTGGCTGTGCCCCTGCTCAGCGGCGAGAATGGGATTCCAGCCTCAGGCTCTTCCCTAGCGCACACAGGAGCAGGGATGTGGCCATGGCGGCAAAGACACGCAGTCGGCGACAATCTTCAAAGCCTCTCGTTTGCCTCTGCAGCGCCTCACAAGATGGCTTAAGCTCTGGTTTGAATAACACTTTTGTGTTTGTATTCCGGGAGCCCCAGCGACCCAGATGAGGGAATGATGGAATTTGTTTCCTAAGGCTGATGGCAAATTTGGGTGTCTGACCTGGAGATGCCTGGGAGGAAGAGAGTAGCAGCCAGGGCTTGCGGTGGGGCTTGTCTGGGTGCTGGTCTTTGACCCTGGCTGGCAGAGTCCCTGGTGTTAAGCTGCCCCCTTCTTCTGTTTTCTACTCCACTGAGGCTGTGAGTGCATTCAGGGAGGGGAACATCTAGGTGCCCAAGGCCTCTGCCCAGCAGGTGCTAACTGACACCGAAGGAGAGCATGACACAGGCCAGCAGGGGCAGAGCGGTGTCGTGGCTCCTCAGCACAGAGCTTCCTGCACTGTGACCAGGCGTCCTCGGAATCGCACCTGTAGAGTCACCAACTCCCCTGTCTCTGAGCAAGTGTGCCAGTACCTTCTCCTTTGGGTTCTGGAGCCAACCCGCCAGCAGCACGATGAGGGGCAGGCCGTAACTGGCAGGGCTGCAGATACGGGGTTCCATGCCCCAGGTGCGCAGGGTGTGTGGAGCCCACGGAGCCAGCTGTCCCAGCCCCCGGCAGGCTCCAGCACTCGACAGGCTTGCCTTGCTCCTCCTGACCTTCACCCCTGCCTGCTTCCTGGCAAACCCGCCCCTCCTAGCCCAGCCCTCATGCTACGTCTTCCTCCAAGCTCTTCCTCGCCTCCCCCCACAGATGGGCATTCTCTCTTTGAGGAATCCCCCAAGCACTGCACCTGGATGCAACATTTACTAAATCAATTGAAGTAAACATAGCAAAAATTCTAATAGGAAAGTGATCAATAAAAGGAATACTCTGTCCCTTCACCATCCAATTCTTTGCCCTAATGAGAACTCTTATTTCCTTTGGTGTCTTTCTAGAAAAGAGTTTGTGCATATATACCAGAGTATGAGCTATAAAAAGCTTTCCCAAATATCAGCACCCTCTACCCATCATTCTGTCCCTTGCTTTTTTTTTTTTTTTTTCCTAATTTATTTATTTGAAAGGCAAAGTTACAGAGAAGCAGAGGCAGAGAGAGGGAGAGAGAGAGGGACAGAGAGAGAGTCTTCCATCCACGACTTCACACCCTAAATGGATGCAATGGCCAGAACTGAGCCAATCCAAAGCTAAGAGCCAGGAGCTTCTTCTGGGTCTCCCATGTAGGTGCAAGGGCACAAGCACTTGGGCCATCTTCTACTGCCTTCCCAGGCTACAGCAGAGAGCTGGATTGGAAGCAGAGCAGCTGGGACTCAAACCAGTGCCCATATGAGATGCTGGCACTGCAGGAGGTGGCTTTACCTGCTATGCCACAGTGCCAGCCTCTGTCCCTTGCTTTTTCACTTAACTCTCCCAACGCAGTACATTATGCTTTAAAAAATTATTATTTTTTTAAATTTTGTGTGAAAAGCAGAATGAGGTGAGGGAGGAGAGAGAGACTCTTCCATTCACTGGTTCACTCACCAAATGGCTGCAATAGCTGGAGCTGAGCCAGGCAGAAGGTAGGAGCCTAGAGCTTCATCAGAATCTCCCACATGGATGAGAAAGGCCAAGCACTTGGGGCCATCCTCCACTGCCTTCCCAGGCACATTAGCAGGGGGCTGCATTGGAAGCAGAGTAGCTGGGACTTAACTGGCACTCCTATATGAGATGCCTACATTGCAGGCAAGAGCTTAGCCCATTGCACCACAATGCTCATACTATGCTTTTTTCTTTTTTAAGATTTATTTTATTGGGGCCAGCACTATGGGGCAGTGGGTTAAAGCCCTAGCCTGCAGTGCCAGCATCCCATTTGGGTACCAGTTTGAGTCCCAGCTGCCCCTCTTCCAATCTAGCTCTCTGGTATGGCCTGGGAAAATAGCAGCAGATGGCCCAAGTTCTTGGGCCCCTGCACCCATGTGGGAGACCAGGAGAAGCTCCTGGCTCCTGGCTTCAGATCAGTGCAGCTCTGGCTGTTGTGATCATTTGGGGAGTGAACTGGCAGAGTGAAAGACCTCTCTCTGTCTCTGGCTCTACCTTTATCTGTAACTCTTTCAAATAAATAAAATAAAAAGATTTATTTATCTGAAAGGCAGAGTTACAGAGAGAGGTAGAGATGGAGAGAGAATGTCTTGCATCCATTGGTTCGCTCCCCAAATGGCTGCAATGGCTGGAGCTGAGCCAATCTGAAGCCAGGAGCCAGGAGCTTCTTCTGGTTCCCCCACGTGAGTGCAGGGGCCCAAGCATGTGGGTTATCTTTCACTGCTTTCCCAGGCCATAAGCAGAAAGCTGGAAAGGAAGAGGAGCAGCGGGAACACTAATCAGCACCCATATGGGATGCCAGCACTGCAGGCTGAGGCTTAGTCTACTGTGCCACAGTGCCAACCCCAACACACTATACATTTTAATGCTTACAAAGTATTCTGTAGTATGGATGGCCCTTGTTTTTATCAACATTTTTTACTGTTTTTTTTTTTTTAATATTTATTTATTTGAAAGTCAGAGTTACACAGAGAGAGGAGAAGCAGAGAGAGGGAGAGAGAGAGGTCTTCCAAATGATGGTTCACTCCCCAGTTGGCTGTAATGGCTGGAGTTGCGCCAGTCCAAAGCCAGGAGCTTCTTCCAGGTCTCCCACATGGGTGCAGGGGCCCAAGGACCTGGGCCATCTTCCACTGCTTTCCCAGGCCGTAGCAGAGAGCTAGATTGGAAGTGGAGCAGCCGGTCTTGAACAGGCGCCCATGTGGGATACCGGTGCTTCAAGCCAGGGTGTTAACCTGCTGCACCACAGCGCCAGCCCCAACATTTTTTATTGTGAAATATAACCCAATTATATGGTGTTTACCACATCTGTATGTATGTTTATTAATTATTATGGAGCAAACACCTGTTCAGGGTCACAAATAGACCTTCCGGCCGGCACCGCAGCTCACTAGGCTAATCCTCCACCTTGCAGCGCCAGCACATCGGGTTCTAGTCCTGGTCGGGGCGCTGGATTCTGTCCCGGTTGTCCCTCTTCCAGTCCAGCTCTCTGCTGTGGCCTGGGAGTGCAGTGGAGGATGGCCCAAGTGCTTGAGCCCTGCACCCCATGGGAGACCAGGAGAAGCACCTGGCTCCTGGCTCCTGCCATCAGATCAGCGCAGTGCGCTGGCCGCAGTGCGCTGGCCGCAGAGGCCATTGGAGGGTGAACCAACGGCAAAGGAAGACCTTTCTCTCTGTCTCTCTCTCTCACTGTCCACTTTGCCTGTCAAAAAAAAAAAAAATCCTAAAAAACAAAACAAAACAAAAAAACAAATAGACCTTCCAGGGCTGCACTTCCCTTTCTTCTAGAAGGAACTATTATCTGACTCTTGGTAATTATTTCCTAGCTTTTCTTTATAGTTCTGCTACTAGGTTTGTATTTGTAGACAACATAGATGAGTTCTCCCTGTTTTTGAACTCTGTTTTAATAGGATCCTATTATATGTATTCTTGTGTGTGTGTGTGTGTGTGTGTGTGTGTTGTGTGTTTCCACTAAACACCATGTAAGATTCAACATGCTGGGGCTGACATTGTGGTGCATCAAGTTAAGCCACTGCCTGTAATGCCAGCATCCTGTATAGGCGCTGGTTCAAGTCCTAGCTGCTCCACTTTCTATCCAGCTCTCTGCTAGTACACATAGGGAAGCAGCAGAAGGTGGTCCAAGTGCTTGGGCCCCTGCTACCCATGTGGAAGACCCAGATGGAGTTTCACCTGGCCCAGCCCTAACTGTTATAGCGATTTGGGGAGTGAACCAGTAGATAGAAGATCTCTCTCTCTATCTGTAACTCTGCCTTTCAAATAAATAAGTAAGTAAGTAAGTATTTATTTAAAAAAGACTTAATATGCCATTGGGTCTAGCAGTAGCTCTTTCATTTCCATTGCTATGCCATTATGTGAGTATGCCACAATACACCCTGCTAGTAGATACAAGCATACTTTCTAAAGATCATGGAAAGTACAATTAAATGATAAACTTTTTTTTGGTACAAAGCTTTTCAAATCTGTTCCTAGTTTTTCATAATATACATTTTCCATTACCTGTTTGAAAATCCCCTGTATTTGACCTCTGTCCGATTTGGCAGTTATGAATGTAGCCACTATGAGCCATCTTGTACGAGTGTCCTGGTGCACACATGTCTGCCTGTCTGTGGCGCATCTGTGAAGGGGGGTGATGGCTGGGTCCTGGGGTGTGTTTGACATCTGTGGTTTTACCACACTGCTTCCCGATGGGGAGACTGGTCCTCTCCCAGCAGGGCTCATGCTCTCCACATCTTCACCAATGCTTGGGATCTCCAGACCTTCAGAAGTGAGTATCTGGTGGGTTGGCCATTATAGCCCTCTTCATCTGTGAAGCAGCTAAAATTTAGAGAAAGTCTTGGAGTCTTTTGAGTGTCAATAATGGCAAAACTATCCTCTAATACGACAGTTTAACACATTTTTCATAAATGGGGGCTATTGTAGTTCAGGAAGTCAAACTGGGTGTCTGGACTTATGACCCAAAAAGCAGAGGTAGGAACTGAGTCTGCCTGCTCTCGAGCCGCTCCTCGTGCTGATCTGCCCCTGTGTGGCCTGCGCCAGGCTGGGATTTCTCAAAGCAGCCACCATGTGGTGGGAGGAAGTGGGAGTGGCACAGCTGAACCGGACCCCTCCTGCCCACAGCTTATTGCCTGGCAATGCCGTTTGGGTGTGTGACTCTGGGTGACAAGAAGAACTATAACCAGCCATCGGAGGTAACCGACAGATATGACTTGGGACAAGTCATCAAGACGTGAGTGCTTCAGGCCTGTTGGGCAAGGGCGGGCAAGGACTGAGGAAGGGGGACTGGGGTGCAGCCCGTGCTCAGCCAGGGCTGAGGGGATCGCCTGTTGGCTGCAGCGAGGAATTCTGTGAGATCTTCCGGGCCAAGGACAAGACGACGGGCAAGCTGCACACATGCAAGAAGTTCCAGAAGCGGGATGGCCGCAAGGTGCGGAAGGCAGCCAAGAACGAGATAGGCATCCTGAAGATGTGAGTGTAAGGCCTGGGGAAAGGGTGGGCTGGCAGGGAGCAGGCAGCTGGCCTCGGGATTGGCCCGCCTCTGGCCGGTTAGTCTGCTGGAGCTGCTGCAGTGACCAGGGGCTTACCCAGCCCTGACTGCTGGCTCCTTTTCCTGCTGCCAGGGTGAAGCATCCCAACATCTTGCAGCTGGTGGATGTGTTTGTGACCCGCAAGGAATACTTCATCTTCCTGGAGCTGTGAGTGCGGGCCTGGGGTCAGAGAGGATTCCCCAGTCCCCGGGGTCTTCCCTCGTCCTGCCTTCTGCAGCTAAGGAAAGCCCCCTTTTCTGAACCCTTGGGGACCCAAATGCAGCCCACCCAAGTGCTCCTGCCCCACCCCCGGTCCTGCCCACGCCGGGCTCAGGGGCTGGTGTCCCTCAGGGCCACGGGGAGGGAGGTGTTTGACTGGATCCTGGACCAGGGCTACTACTCGGAACGAGACACGAGCAACGTGGTGCGGCAGGTCCTGGAGGCTGTGGCCTACTTGCACTCACTCAAGATTGTGCACAGGAACCTCAAGGTGAGGCCAGGGCCAGAGTCAAAGGGAGCTGGGCTGGGTTGGGCTGGGCTGGGTAGCACTTCGGGGTCTTGGTCCAGCCCCTTACGTCTACTCGTGTCTGCTTCTGGCCACCCACATGCCATTCCTGGCCGGGGCAGCTGGAGAACCTGGTTTACTACAACCGGCTGAAGAACTCCAAGATTGTCATCAGCGACTTCCACCTGGCTAAGCTAGAGAATGGCCTCATCAAGGAGCCTTGTGGGACCCCCGAGTATCTGGGCAAGCACATGGTGGGGCAGGGGCGGGATGGGGGCAGCCTTTCTGGGTGGGGGAAAGGGAGTCCCCATTCGAGGAAGTGGGTGTGGATGGCACTGGGCCTAGTCAGACCTGATACTAAACAGTAGCATTGTTTGTAGCCCCGGAGGTGGTAGGTCGGCAGCGGTATGGACGCCCTGTGGACTGCTGGGCCATTGGAGTCATCATGTACATCCTGTGAGTAGACTAGCAAAGCAGCCTTGCGGCCAAGTGGAGTGGGGCCTGTGTCTGTGCTGTCCTGGGTGACCCTGCCCCACGCAGGCTTTCAGGCAACCCGCCCTTCTATGAGGAGGTAGAGGAAGACGACTACGAGAATCATGATAAGAATCTCTTCCGCAAGATCCTGGCTGGTGACTATGAGTTTGACTCTCCATACTGGGATGATATTTCGCAGGCAGGTGAGGAGGTGCCCAAGCACGTGAGTGCAGAGCGGTGGGGAGGGGGCCTCTGCTCCCAGCTTCTTCAGCTGGATTCTGCTCCTGCCTCGCTGCCCGTTCACCACCTGTAGACAGTGACATTGGGGCACCCATGCCTTCCCCCTCCCTGGCTTTGTCCGCAGCCAAAGACCTTGTCACAAGGCTGATGGAGGTAGAGCAAGACCAGCGGATCACTGCGGAAGAGGCCATCTCCCATGAGTGGTGAGCAGGGCCCAGGGGAATGGAGAGGCCAGGGCTCTCTTGATTCCAGCCCCCCACCCCACCCCAACCCACACCTAGTAGCCCCATCCTTGAGGCCCTGAGTGGTGACGGCAACCAGAGCTCAGCTAGCCCAAAGGTTCTGAATGGCTCTCCCGGGATCCCGGGGGAAGGGCTGGGCAGGTCTCCCCAGAGGCCTACACCCCTCAGATCCGGATGCATTTCCACGCTTTCCAGGATTTCTGGCAATGCTGCCTCTGACAAGAACATCAAGGATGGTGTCTGTGCCCAGATTGAAAAGAACTTTGCCAGGGCCAAGTGGAAGGTAAGACTTGGGTAGCTCCCTCTCTTGGACTGATCCCAAGTGCTGCTTCTGGCACTCACGGTTTCTTGCCTGCTGCACGGTCCTGCAGCCATAAATAAGCTTCTCTCGGGCCTTCAGGTCTAGCTGTAGCCATTGTCATTATCTACCTTAGGAGCACTGGGCAGCTGGGTCCTTGGCCCTGGGGTGGTCAGAGGCAGCTGGGAGCACCATGGAAGAGGCTGGCTTTGGCCTGGCCAAGGAATGGATCTGCGGTCGTCACCCTGAGCCTCTCTCTGCTGTCTTCCTTTTAGAAAGCTGTCCGAGTGACCACCCTCATGAAACGGCTCCGGGCGCCAGAGCAGTCCGGTGCAGCTGCAGCACAGTCTGCCTCAGCCACAGACACGGCTACCCCTGGGGCTACAGGTGGGGCCGCAGCTGCGAGTGGAGCTGCCCCAGCCCCTGGGAGCAGTGCCACCCCAGCCACGGAGGGTGATGCTGCATGTGCCGCAAAGAGTGATAATGTGGCCTCCGCAGACCGTAGTGCCACCCCGGCTACAGACGGCAGTGTCACCCCAGCCACTGACGGCAGTGTCACTCCAGCCACCGATGGGAGCATCACCCCGGCCACCGATGGCAGTGTCACCCCAGCCACTGACAGGAGCGCTACTCCAGCCACTGATGGGAGAGCCACGCCAGCCACAGAAGAGGGCACTGTGCCCGCCACCCAAAGCAGTGCCACGCCAGCTACCAAGGCAGCTGCCACCCCTGAGCCGGCTATGGCCCAGCCGGACAGCACAGCCCTAGAGGGCGCCACAGGCCAGGCTCCACCCTCTAGTAAAGGGGAAGAGGCTGCTGGCTCTGTCCAGGAGTCTCGGAGGGAGACCAGCTGAGTGGGCAGCCTGGTGGGGGGGTCAGGGGACGGGCAAGAGGGTGGGCAAGAGATGAGGGGATTCTCATGTACATAGAGTCACTGGCATGAAGCCCTCACTTCCCCACGCCCCCTGCATCCCAGTGGGGCGTACCTGGGGGTCACGGGAGAGTAGTCTCGTCTCCTGTGTATACGTGTGTATGTGAGTGGTGGGCAGGCCAGAGGCAGGGCCAGCCCCAGCCCTTGCATGGATTTCTCGTGGCTTTTTCTGTCTTTTGCTAGCTTTACCAGTTTCTGTTCCTTGTGGGACACTGTTCTAGGGATACTCAGGGGGGTCCCCGCTCTCCTTCCCCTTTCTTTCTGGCCTCACCATTCCCCCAGGCAGGCCCTGCAGGTCCCATACTCTCCCAGGCCCTAAACTTGGTGGCCTTGCCCTGAGAGCTGGTCCTCCAGCGAGGCCCTGTCAGTGGCCTCAGGCTCCTGCGCATGAGGATGTGCGCCTTAGTGTGTGGGCTGCTCTAGGAGTGGACACAGGCTGGCAGAGAGGGTGCAGAAACCTAGGGCAGCATGCTTTAAGTCAAGACCGGTCACATGGCTGGGGGCACTGCTCATTAGCTACGGGGTTCCTAAGAGTTGGAAGAAAACAGTAGGAGGGTAGAAGTTTCCATCTTTGCCCGTGGGAAGTCCCTCCTAAGACCCTTGCGTTATTTGCCCTTCTGAGCCCTAAAGTGGGTTGCCCTGGACCCTGAACTTCCTGAGCCTCTAAGAGAAAGGAGGAGCAATGAGGGTGTGGCAACGAGACCTGGGAGAGAGAGTATAGGCCCAGCCCTCAGTGTCCCAGCCTAGCTGGGTCCTTACCCTGGGCCACACAAGGAGAGCTGTTATACCCTTGCTCGTCCTAGATGCCAGCCCCCACGGGCTCAGCCGACAAGTCCCCTCTGTCCCAGGGGGCCTACTGCATGGCAGTACCTTGGGGGGTTGCTATTCACAGAGGCAGATTATTTTGTTTTGTTTTGTTTTCAGTTCAACAAAATGGAGAGGAACCTTCTCTATTTCTATGGCTTCTATCAGAGGCCCAGGTGCCTCTGAGCCATGTTGAGTTGCTTTTGCTGGGATGAGGAAGTAGAATAAGACTCCCCAGTTCCCTGAGGGAGGTTCCCGACAGGTGCCCTTTGTCAGACCCCACCACAACCTGGACAGGCAGCCATACTGGTCCTTGCCCTTGCTCGGCACTTGTGGTGGTCCTGCCCTTCTCCCTGCATGCCCGTGGGTCTGCTCTGGTATGTGAAGGTTGGTGGGCTGTGTGCCTGCTGAACCTGGCAAATAAACGTCACCCTGCAAAGCCTCCGGCTGCCCTCTTGCCTTTGCTTCCTCTGTCTAACCGGGGAGGAGCCCCTAGAAGGCAGTGCACAGGGGAGAGGCTGGGAGAAGGCTCACATGTTGTGGCTGCTGCTCAGTGCCCCTGGGTGGCTTGGTCTGGGGTGAAGATCATCCTGATCACTCTATTCCTTGATGATGGTGGTGGGGTCCTCTGAATTCAGAAATCAATGTGGGTGGTGGGTCCTGGGCTAGGTTTGGGCCAAGGAACACCCCGTGGGCTGTTCTGACTCCTGTTGACCAAGAAGTCTTTGTCTTGACCTGGGCATACAGCTGGAACCCACTCAGTGCCAGCTGCCACAAAGAGAAAACTTGCTCATGGCCAAAGCAGGCTTCCCTGGGCAGGAGCTCAAGAGGATAGGGCAGTGCACAAAGGTTCTGTTCTGCCGTGAGGCCGTTAGTTGACTGCCCCTGTGAACACCTGTGCTTTCCACATAGGCCCAAAGGATTCCACTCTGGGTTTCCTCCTGGAACAGATCAGTTTTATAGTAGGGGGCTATGCCTAGGGTTTCTTATGGGGAGGGGGAGTAACACTGCTAAAAGGCCCCCAAGGAGACTTAGCCCAGCCCACATGGGCATGGGTACTGCTCTTTTCTCCAGGAGGACCTCAAAGATAACTCCTCTGATGTAGGAATAATAAAATAATTTGTTAGTTCCTAGTCTTTGAACCATCTAGGCTTCCAAAATTACAATCCTATGCCAGCCTCAGGCACAACAGTCCTCATGGGAGCTAAGCTAAAGTCAGGGTACTTCCTGCCTCACTTGGATAAATTCAAGGTTAGCCTGGGGTGTCCTCGGAGGCTGGCACCTTTGTGTCCATTTTCGAGGTTCACTCAGACAGAGGACTGAGAAGGTGGGGCATTCTTTTGGTCCAGGAACAATGGGGTGCCAGCGCACAGTCCCTCACTGCCCAGACCTCGGGGGGCGGGGGGGATCTGTTCTATTTTCTTGTGGCCGCAGTCTCCTTGACTGTAGTAAAGTACAGAAAGAGGGATCCAGGCCCCTATCACCTATGCCAAGCTCTAGCTTGGGACCACAAAAGCTGCCCTGTCCTGGGAAAAGGTACAGATGGTGATGTCACTGCTCCTCGCCCCAATTCAAAGATGCGCTCCCGAGGCGCTGGTCAAGTCCTCCCAGACACCTGCAAGCTATCGCGCGACACCACAGGGCTCTCTACCGCCCCCAGGCCTCCAAGTTCCGCCCCTGGTCACGCCCCCTAGAGCTTGTCCAATGAGGGGCAAGCATTCAGGGCCCGCCCCGGTCCTGTGTTGTCATTTCCGGTCCGTTCCCGGAAGTCGCGCCGTGGAGCCAAATTTGAAGAGAGCGGGGGCGCGTCCAGGAAGCTGGAGCTGTCGCAGCTTCCTTGGCTACCTGGGCCTCTTGAGTCTAACAGTCATGCCTATCCGTGCGTTGTGCACTATCTGCTCGGACTTCTTCGACCACTCTCGAGACGTGGCCGCCATACATTGCGGCCACACCTTCCACCTGCAGTGGTGAGTGACCGCGGTGTCGGGGCCGTGGGGTGTGGTGGGGTCTGCGGGCCGTCGGTCCCGGGAGCCCAGACGGATGATGAGGCTCTCACTAGACGGAGCCCCACAGGAGCTTCCCAGCCTGGGCAGAAATGGGTCAGGGCAGGCTTCTGGGTAGAGGCAGTAGCTGAACCGCGCCTGGGGCTGGCGGGGAGGCAGAGTTGGTTCAGTGAAGTTAGAGGAGGTGCTTCCTTCGTCACCTGTGCAGTTATGCCTTCAAAATTATTAGCCTGAGAGGAGGTGAACTTTCTCCATATTGAGGAGCCCTTTTATTTCTTCCAAATGGAACCTGTTAGGCTCTGGCTACCAGAGAGGATTTTGTAGTGGTTAGCCCGATGCTTTGGAATGATTCTAAGCAGTGATCTCATTGGCCAGACATCTCAGTGTATTTAGCACGCCAACAGACGCAGCTTTACATGGACAGGGAAGGGCCTATCCAGGGGTACTGCTGATTGTGTAGGACCGTTCTGTTGAGTGGGAAAAACTTCCCGCGGACACACTGATTTAGAGTGCCCAATTACAGAGTGCAGAGAGACCCTTGAGAATGGTGGGTCCTAATAGTCACAGGAGGCTTCTAGGGCAAGTGGCCCCAGGAAACAGGGAGCCAGGCATAGCCCTGAAGGCTGCTGAGCACTCCTTAATTGGAAAACTTTGTAGAGACTTGCAGGCCGGTATTGTTAACAGCCAGAAGCCCAACCAGGGGGAGCCACTGGTGTTTGGTGAGGCTAGAAGCGAGCTCAGCTCTGAGAGTACTTTAGTTACTGTTTGCATGCTCTGTTTTATAGTCCTTTTACTTTTAGCTTTTCTGTGTTCTGGTATTTTACATATGTTTCCTGCAAAAGGCATTTACTTGGACTTTTAGGAAAAGATTATTTGAAAGGCAGAGAGACTAAAAGGGAGGAGGACAGAAAGAGAGATTGTCTCTCTGCTGGCTCCTTCCTCAAATGACCGCAGCAGCCTGGATAGGCCAGGCTGAAGCCAGGAGCTCTGGGTCTCCCACGCAGAAGGCAGGGACTCAGGCACTGGAGCCATCACCCGCTGCCTCCTGAGAGCAGCAGCAGAGGGCTGGACTGATGCTCTCGCACCCGCACTCAGACATGGGATGCAGTTCTTCCAGACAGTGGCCTAGCCCTCAGTACTACAGTGCCCATCCCAATTCTGTGTGTTTTATTTATTTTTTTTTAAGATTTAATTTATTGGGGCCAGTGCTGTTCTGTAGGGGGTAAAGCCTCTGCCTGTGGCGCCAGCTCCACTTCTGATCCCGCTCCCTGCTAATGCACCCAGAAAAGCAGCAGAAGATGGCCCAAGTGCTTGGACCCCTGCACCCACCTGGGAGATCTGGAAGAAGCTCTAGGCTTCTGATTTTAGATTGGCCCAGCTCTGGCCATTGTAACCATTTGAAGAGTGAGCTAGCGGCTAGGAGATCTTGCTCTCTGCCTTTCTCTCTCTCTCTCTATATATATATATAAATCTTAAAATTTTTTTTTATTTACTTATTTGAAAAACAGAGTGACCAGAGAAAGGGAAAGAGAGAGGAAATGTTCCATTTGCCAGTTTACTCTCCAAATAGTCAAAATAGCCAGGGTTGGGCCAGCCCAAAACTAGGAGCCAGGAAGGAACTCCATCTTGGTTTTCCATGTGGGTGTCAGGGACCCAAGCACTTGGGTCAGCTCCTACTGCCTCCCCAGGCACATTAGCAGGAAGCTGGATGCAAAATGGAGCAGCTGGGACTCAAATGGACATTCCAGTATGGTATGCCAGAGCTGCAAGTGATGGCTTAACCCATTGCACCACGATGCTGGCTCCCCTCTGTATTTTAAACCAAACTCTTTGTTGAGAGTAAATTTTATTTATAAGCAAGTTGCGATGATAGTGCTTAGAGTTATCATGTAACCTTCACACAGCTTTCTCAGTGTTAATATCTTACATAATCATGGTGTATTTGTTGAAAAAATTAACTCTGGGGCTGGCATTGTTATGTAGCAAATAAAGCTGCCTTCCAAGATGCTGGCATCCCATATGGGTGCTGGTTCAAGTCCCAGCTGTTCCACTTCTGATCCAGCTCCCTGCTAATGTACCTGGGAAAGCAGCGGAGGATGGCCCAGGTCCTTGGGCCCCTGCACCCAAGTGGGAGACCCAGAAGAAGCTCCTAGCTTTTGGCTTCAGTCTGGCCCAGCTCTGGCTGTTGCAGTCATTTGAGGAGTGAACCAATGGATGGAAGACCTTTCTCTCTGTCACTCTTTCTCTCTGTCTGTAGCTCTGCCTCCCAAATTAATTAATTATCACTGGTATGCTATTAACTAAACTATGGAGTTTGTTTAGATTTCACCAGTTTTTCTATGTTTTTTTTTTCAGTTATTTTATTTTATTTATTTGAAAGGCAGAAAGAGATCTTCCACATACGGTTCACTCCCCAAATGCCCACAAAAGCCAGGGCTGAGCAAGGCTGAGTCCAGGAGCTGCATTACCTATGTGAGTGGCAGGAACCCAGGCACTTGACCCATGATCTGTTATCCCCTGCTGTATGCATTATGAGGAAGCTGAAATTGAGAGTGGAACCAGGACTCTCACCCAGGCACGCTGAAGAAAAATGTAGGCATCCCAACCACCAGGCCAAATACCTACCCCAAGAAGCAGAATATTAAAGACATTTCCTTAATTGTTTTTCTAGTTACCCTTGTCAACCTCCCTCCCACTTGTCTACATAAAGGTGACTATCATCTTGACTTTAACAGCATAGATGAATTTTGCGTACATTTTTGCTTTTTGTAAATGGAATCATACATAATATATGTTTTTTCCCATCAGATCTCTCTTCCTCAGTGTTATGTGTTTGTGATTCATCTATAATGTTGTTAGTTGTAAATTTATCCATTCTCCTTGCTAAGGTAGTATTCCATTGTGCGTGCTTAGCCTTAATTATATGTTGCACATGATATTTGAAAAGGTATTTATAGGAAAAAAAATTGAAACCTAGGACGATGGTATCATCTTCCAGAGAAGTTGTTTTTTTTTTTTTTTTTTAATTTTATTTATTTATTTGAAAGAGTTACACAGAGAGGCAGAGAGAGAGAGGTCTTCTACCTGCTGGTTCACTCCCCAACTGGCTGCAACGGCCGGAGCTGGGCTGATCCGAAGCCAGGAGCCAGGTGCTTCTTCCTGGTCTCCCACATGGGTGCAGGGGCCCAAGCACTTGGGCCATCCTCTACTGCTTTCCCAGGCCACAGCAGAGAGCTATATTGGAAGTGGAGCAGCTGGGACTTGAACCGGTGCCCATATGGGATGCCAGCACTGCAGGCAGCGGCTTTACCCGCTATGCCACAGGGCCAGCCCCGAGAGGACTTTTGTTTCTCACAGATCCCGGGGAGTGGGAGAATCTGTTAGTGGGAGAACACATTAAAATTTAAGGGTTGAGTTTTGCTAGACCATCTATCATCTATTGATGATTCATAGCTGACCTGTGGTTTGCTTTTACCACCACTTACTTTTACTTCTAGTTGACCCTTATTTTGAAAATATAGTCTTCAGGGTCCCAGCTTAAAGTGATGATGTTATCAAGGTCCCCATCTCTGAGGGACAATGTTCCCTCCCCCACCCCCTCCAGTCAAAGCCCAGAAGCTTGTCAGAAGAGTATGTCTGGCCTGGCCAAAATGGACCCAAAAAAAAAAAAAAAAAAAGGCCCATCAATCTGAATGCTGAGTACCTGTCTGATCTTGCCAGTGTGCCCTAAGGTTGTGTGGTGCTGTCCTCCTGTGAGAGTCGGCATTGAGCTAAGGAGGAACAGGACAGACCCTGTTGTGGTCAGGATGACTGCCTGGCCGGTATCTGCAGTCAAGCCAGGGCTCACCACTCTTGTTCTGTGTCTCATTCTAGCCTGATTCAGTGGTTCGAGACAGCCCCAAGTCGGACTTGCCCACAGTGCCGAATCCAGGTGAGCCTGTTATGGGACCACATCACCCAGAGATATCATTTCCTTGCCAGGGAGCAGGAGTTTGCAAAGATCGCTGAAACTGAGCAATTTCTATGAGTTTTTTGTTTGTTTGTTTGTTTGTTTTTGTTTTTTTTTTGACAGGCAGAGTGGACAGTGAGAGAGAGAGACAGAGAGAAAGGTCTTCCTTTTGCCGTTGGTTCACCCTCCAATGGCCGCCGCGGCCGGCGCGCTGCGGCCAGCGCACCGCGCTAATCCGATGGCAGGAGCCAGGAGCCAGGTACTTATCCTGGTCTCCCATGGGGTGCAGGGCCCAAGCACCTGGGCCATCCTCCACTGCACTCCCTGGCCACAGCAGAGAGCTGGCCTGGAAGAGGGGCAACCGGGACAGAATCCGGCGCCCCAACCGGGACTAGAACCCGGTGTGCCGGCGCCACTAGGCGGAGGATTAGCCTAGTGAGCCGCGGCGCCGGCCTCTATGAGCTTTTTGACTGTACTTTTTTTTCTTAATTACCCAGGTTTAATTTTTTTTTTTTTTTTTTTTTTTTTTTTTTTTTTGCCAGGCAGAGTTAGACAGTGAGAGAGAGAGACAGAGAGTTATAGACAGTGAGAGAGAGAGACAGAGAGAAAGGTCTTCCTTCCGTTGGTTCACCCCCCAAATGGCCAATACGGCTGGCGCTGCACTGATCCGAAGCCAGGAGCCGAGTACTTCCTCCCAGTCTCCCATGAGGGTGCAGGGCCCAAGGACTTGGGCCATCCTCCGCTGCCCTCCTGGGCCACAGCAGAGAGCTGGACTGGGAGAGGAGCAACCGGAACTAGTACCCGGCGCCCCAACCGGGACTAGAACCCGGGGTGCCAGCGCCACAGGCGAAGGATTAGCCAAGTGAGCCATGGTGCCGGCCACCCAGGTTTAATTTTTAAAAAATATTTATTAACGGCAAAGGAAGACCTTTCTCCCTGTCTCTCTCACTGTCCACTCTGCCTGGCAAAAAAAATTTAAAAAAATATTTATTTATTTGAGAAACAGAGCTACAGGGAGAGGGAGAGACAGAGAAAGAGGTCTTCCATCCCCTGGTTCACTCCCCAAATGGCTGCAATGGCAGGAGCTTTGCCCATTTGAAGCCAGGAGACAGAAGCTTCTTCCTGGTCTCTCATGTAGGTGCAAGGGCCCAAGCACTTGGGCGATCTTCTACTGTTTTCCCAGGCCATAATCAACTGGCTTGGAAGAGGAGCAGCCGGCACTCTAACCAGTGCCCAAATGAGGTGCTGTTGCCTCAGGTGGAGGCTTGGGCCACAACACCACTACGCTGGCCCCAACCCTACTGGTTTCAGACCAGTTGAGCTTCACTTGTGCCCTTCAGTAGTTCAGAATGCTTGCGTACACTTACAGATTGCTGGCAGATGCACTTGGTGCCTAGGCCAGTCTTCAGCTGGGTATATCTGGCCTTTTCCCCTGCCTTAGCACCTACAGTTGGGGCGTCTTTGAGTGCTCGCCACAAGGTCCTGCCATGACATGACTTCAGCAACCACCAACCCAGCAGCCCCAGCGTGGGCTACCTGCAGAGTTGAAGAGGTGTGCTGATTCCAGAGAACATACTTAGGAAGATCAGGCCTGGCGTGTGTGGCAGGCAGGCAGGCAGACCCTCATACAACCCTGTCTCCTTGCCCGTGACCCAGCTATGCAGTCATACTCTATCTTGTTTGCTCTTCTAGGTTGGCAAAAGAACCATTATCAACAAGCTCTTCTTTGACCTTGCCCAGGAAGAGGAGAGTGTCTTGGATCCAGAATTCTTAAAGGTATCCAAAATTTTTTTTGAAGATTTATTTATTTGTTTGATAGGCAGAGTTACAGAGAGAGAGAGAGATGGAGAAGCAGAGAGAGAGAGAGATTTTCCATGTGTTGGTTCACTCCCCAAATGGCACAACAGCCAGGGCTGGTCCTGGCTGAAGCCAGGAGTAAGGAGCTTCTTGCAGGTCTCCCGTGTGAGTACAGGGGTTCAAGGACTACATTCCAGGCACATTAGCAGGGAGCCAGATCAGAAGTGGAGCAGCCAGGACTTGAACTGGTGCCAGTATGGGTTGCCAGCCTGCAGATGCCAGCCCAACCTGCTATGCCACAGCTCTAGCCCCAAGGTACCCAGAATTTGTCTCATTGCACAGAACGGCAAGCTCTCTGGACATTTACCTTCGATGTCACACAGGGAGGGTGCCTAGAGTATGGAGAGGAGATTTCGAGGAAGGGGCAAGGAGAGCAGGGGACAAGTGATGATGAGGTGGTCATGAGAGAAATAAAGGAAGCAGGCTACCACTTGACTGAGAGTCCACTTGGGGTTCCAGGGCAGTTCTGAGCAAAGAGCTGATACCCTCACTTTATGAATGACCTGAAGCCATCCCATTCAGTCCCTTTTGCTGGTGGACTGTGAGTGACAGACCAAAAAACTTTCTTTTTCTTTTTTGACAGGCAGAGTGGACAGTGAGAGAGAGAGACAGAGAGAAAGGTCTTCCTTTGCTGTTGGTTCACCCTCCAATGGCCGCCGCGGCTGGCGCACCGCGCTGATCCGATGGCAGGAGCCAGGAGCCAGGTACTTATCCTGGTCTCCCGTGGGGTGCAGGGCCCAAGCACTTGGGCTGTCCTCCACTGCACTCCCTGGCCACAGAAGAGAGCTGGCCTGGAAGAGGGGCAACTGGGACAGAATCCGGTGCCCCGACCGGGACTAGAACCCGGTGTGCCGGCGCAGCAAGGCGGAGGATTAGCCTAGTGAGCCGCGGTGCCAGCCCAGAAAACTTTCATTCCCTAGCCAGGGAAGATGTGTGGACCCATTGTTCCCAAACCTCACTATATCTCAAAATTCCTTAGTTTGGTGTAAAGTTATAATACCTGGGCCTTCCCAGACCAGGGACAGAGGGCAGGGCCTCTGAAGTCAAGATTTGTAGCTCAGGTAGAAAGCTACATTGCAGGTCAGGATGAGTAGGTTCCCTCCTATGTCTTCCTATATCTTTTTTGAGAAAGTAGAGGGACAGAATGAGAGAGAAAAAGAGATCTTCTATCTGCTTTTTAACTCTCCAGTTGCCCACAACTGCCTGGCCTAGACCAGGCTGAAACCAGAAGCCTGAAACTCATTCCGAGTGTCTTGCAGAGCCACAGTCTGCTGCCTTCTAGGGTGCATATTAGCAGGAAGCTGGATTGGAAGAGGAGCTGGGACTTGAATCCAGGCACTCACATATGTGGTGCAGGTATCCAATGTCATGTTAACCGCTATGTCAAATGGTCCCCCTTCCTTCTAAACTTTTATTTTTTTTAAAGATTTATTTTATTTATTTGAAAAACAGTTACAGAGAGGTAGAGACAGAGAAAGGTCTTCCATCTGCTGGTTCACTCCCCAGATAGTTGCAACAGCCAGAACTGCATGGATCCAAAGCCAGGAACCAGGAGCCAGGAGCTTCTTCCAGGTCTCCTATGCAGGTGCAGGGGCCCAAGGACTTGGGCCATCTTCCACTGCTTTCCCAAGCCATAGCAGAGAGCTGGAGCAGTAGAGGAGCAGCTGGGACTGGAACCGGTGCCCATATGGGATGCTGGCGCCTCAGGCCAGGGCGTTAACCCGCTGTGCCACAGTGCCAACCCCCTTTCAAAGCTGGGTCTTTGAGACTGAAAGGCAACATCTTTTGATTTTATTATTTTATATATTCTTTATTTTTAAAAAAGTTTATTTATTGGGGCTGACGCTGTGGCTCACTTGTTTAATCCTCCACCTGCGGTGCCAAAATCCCATATGGGCACTGGTTCTAGTCCCGGTTGCTCTTCTTCCAGTCCAGCTCTCTGCTGTGGCCCAGGAAGGCGGAGGAGGATGGCTCAAATGCTTGGGCCCTGCACCCGCGTGGGAGACCAGGAGGAAGCACCTGGTTCCTGGCTTTGGATCGGCATAGCTCCAGCTGTAGCAGCCATTTAGGGGGTGAACCAACGGAAGGAAGACCTTTTTCTCTGTCTTTTTCACTGTCTAACTCTATCTGTCAAATAAAAAAAAAGTTTATTTATTTTCATTTGCTTAAAAGGAAGAACAGTAGTGAAGGAGAGAGATCTTGCATTTGCTGGTTTGCTCCCCAAATGTCCCCAACTTCTAGGACTGGACCAGGTCAAAGCCAGGAGCTTGGAACTTTATCTGGGTCTCCCCTGAGGGTGTCGGGCCTGAACACATCAGCCATCATCTGCTGCCTCCAAGGATGCATTACAGAGAGCTAGATCAGAAGCAGAGATGCTGGGACTAGAACTGCAATATCTGATTTGGGATGCAGGTGATCCGAATGGTGGCTTAACCTGCTGCACCGTAATGCTCACCACTAAGAGGCAACATTTTGCAGAGTTTGGAGCAAGGACTTGGAAGGCACCCTGCTAGGATATGGAAGAGCTGAGGAACTATGAGTACTAGTGCAGCAGTCTTGGACTGGCGCCTTTTCCCAGGTGGCACCTATGTGCCCTTCCCTATGGGCCATTTCCACTCCCAGCTGTTCAGCTTATACTTACCAGCCCAGCCACAAAAAGCTCCTGTCCCCATATCCTAGATAGAGAATTTGACAGCAAGCAGTTTATGCACTTGCTTGGTCTGGGCCTTAATACTGACCTCATGAATTTATGAGTCTTGTGTTGATTTTGGAAGGGTGATTTGGGCATTGGGGTTTAGTGCAGCAGTTAAACCATCACTTGGAATTCCTGAATCCCATATCAGAATACTTGAGTTTGAGTTCCATTTCCCTGTTAGTTCCATTTCTCCCTTGGAAGCAGCAGGTGATGGCTCAAGAACTTGGTTCCCTGCCACCTCTGTGAGGGACTCAGATTGAGTTTTGGGCACCTGGCCCCACCCTGGCTGTTGTGAACATTTGGGGAATGAATTAGCGGATGGAAGATTTTTCTCTGGCTGTCTCTTTCTCTTTCTCTCTGCCTTTCAAATAAAGCATGAAAATTAGAATAAATAAAAATTAAAAAAAAAAGGAAGAATGATCTAGAGGAAGCTTTGCTGGGATTTTATCCAGCAACCACCATGAACCCTTGAACAAGTGTTTTGGCTCTGTAAAGCCTTGACTTTCCTGTTTATGGAATAGGCAGCTCACTTTCCCACAGATGTATTGAGCTCCCTGGACTGCTGGACAGGAGCTGGGTTTAATTCTGTCCCCTTCTTTCAGTGGCTCTGCATGTGCAACTCTGGAAGATATGTAAGGGCTTTGGGAGGCTCACTTGACTGTCATGACAGTGTGGTAAAAACCTAGCACAGTGAAGTTTCATACGGGGTGTGCAAACTTGTCCTGGCTTACCTCCTTCTGTTGGATTCTGGGAATGGAAGGTGTGTGGTACACAAAGCCAACTTACGGCTTGAAGGGAGGTGGACCGGGAGGCAGATCCAGGGCTAGAAAGGAGTGGTGGCCCAACGTCCTTGACCATTCCCATTGTGTTCCCCAGGCAAGTACCACTGATGGCCAGAGAGGAAGAAGCTAGGTCAGGGCCAAGGAGGTGATGGAAGCCACTGTTGTTGAGATTGGTCACACAGGCCCTGCTTTGCTTCCCTGGTCCCTACTCCCTCTCCTGGAGCCTTGCCCCTAACATTACTTTCCTTCATCTTAACTGTTTTTTGGAAAGATACAGTGGAAATAAAGCAGTGTTTCCCTCTCTGTTGTAGGTTTAGCAGAATCTTAAGGTACAGCAGAGTCTGTGTCTCCCTAGATCTACAGGCCTCATTGTCCTGTCCTTGGACTCCCCACAACCTTATGGGAGGCCATGTGGAAGCAGGCTATGATGCTTTTCTGCTGCTTATTGTGAATATTGCCTTTGCAGAATGAACTGGATAACGTCAGAGCCCAGCTTTCCCAAAAAGGTGAGCTAGCAAGCAACTAGGGTCCCTGGGAAGCCCCTGACTTGGGAGCTAAAGGGAGGAGCCCTAGGAGGAATGCCCAGTCTTCTGGCAGAACTGGGGTTCCTCCTGCTTTCTGTGACTGGCAGAAAAGGGGAGGGAAGGGAGGTGACCAAAGCTGCCCCTCCTTGACCAGGTGGACCTCTTTTCTCTGTCCAGGGCTTCCTGCCCAGGACTCAGGCTGAGAAGGGACTATGAGTGGGACAAAATATCTCTAAAAAGAGGGTTCAGATGCTGAGTTTCACAGAACCTACCTGAGTTATGGGTTAATGAACAAATTAGTCCTATGGGAATGGAGGAAGAGTAAAATTTTTTCCCAAGTAGTTCAAGCAGTAAAAAGAGGGCTTGTACCCTGAGCAGTGGCTCTGGTTCAGCTCCTGTGGTTTGGTGTATGCCAGAGAGAAACAGGCTACCCAGCTTTCCCACATGAACTTGTTGCTCACCTGGCTCAGGGAGTACATACTCCAGGAGCCCCAGGGCTCCCAGTGCTCGTGAGTTCTCATGTTGCTGGGTGTCTGGGTCTCTCTCTTTCCTCCCTCCATCCCTGCTCCAGAGAGGGAGAGACAGGACAGCCAGGCCATCATCGACGCTCTGCGGGACTCGCTGGAAGAGCGCAATGCCACTGTGGAATCTCTTCAGAAGGCCTTAAGCAAGACCGAGATGCTGTGTTCCACTCTCAAAGTAGGTTCCCAAGTTCTCTGGGCACATAGTTGGTGGGGAGGTATGGCCCAGTCCTGGGCTCACCAAGCTGAACTTTTCTGCCTCAATTGATACCTTGGTTTATGCAATTGTAAAAGGGAGGTAAATTGCTTCCCTCCCAAACCCTCTCATACTGTACCTATCCAGCCCCTTAGAGAAAGGCCATATTGGCTGTGATTGTGGATTTTGTACTAGGTAGTTTAGAGAGGTAAGATTTTCCTAGCACTTCACAGAGGAGCTGCTCAACAAAGGCCTTGGTGAGGCTGGGCCACGTTTCCAAAAGTGGCTCATACTCCACAGATGAGGCCAGCTTGAAGAATCTTCCATTAGCACTCCAGTCCTTGGCTGGGCTGCTCTCTGGAGCCAGATCAAACAGCATCCCAGGGAGGAGCAAGAGCCTTTGAAGTCGGCTGTGCTGAGCTGACCGGACAGATCAAAGCCTGTAGAGCGAGCAGCCCTAGACCCAGATGAATTTTATATCAACCTGGGCCGGTGAGCCTCTTGCTCTCCAAGGGGCATGAGGTGATTGATCTGAACCCACAATTGATATTCCGGCCTTGTACGCAGGAGCAGTCCTTGCTGGATGCCATTTGAAAGGGAAAGGGAACCATCCTTGTGAGCAGGCCCCAGGATATTCACTGTCTGTTCCTGCTTGGGGGCTGTGCTGGATCACATGGCCTCGCCTGTGGGAGGGAGCGAATCAGCACCTGGCTGCAGAGCAGGAGTCTTTGATGGCATTCCCGGGTCAGAGACGGAGCGATCTTGTGCTAAGGGCTCCTGGCTAAGTTCTCTTATCCTAGCAACTTCCATGGGTCTGAATAGGTGATGGTAAGGCCCAGGTTTGGGGTCTGTACTTCTTCAGCTGCCTGCATAACACATACCATGAGACCTGGGCCACTGAACCTTGACAGCCCACAGTGGCCATGTGGATGCTGGCAATGGACTATGCCTAGGTAAAATGTATCTCAGGAGGAAGCAGGCAGAGAGACGAGGAACCAGTTGGCCTAGGGCCTCTTAGCCAGATAAAGCAGAAACTAGATAGGGCCCAGCAGCCCTACCTCCTGTGGTTTAGGGATGCATGATTATCAGCATTTTGAAAAGACAGTGCAGATGCTAGATGGTTCCACAGCATCTACCAGTGACTTTAGCCCTCCAGGAACCTCTAAACAACCTGTGTGGGTGTGTTTGCCCTTTAGAAGCAGATGAAATACTTGGAACAGCAGCAGGATGAAAACAAACAAGCACAGGAAGAAGCCCGCCGGCTCAGGAGCAAGATGAAGACCATGGAGCAGTGAGTTGGAGCTGGGACCTGCTCTGTGTGTGTGCCCCCAGGGCCTCAGGTGATGGAGTTCCCAGGACTACAGCTGGGTGTGGAGTTGGGTCACCTCTGTGCCTCAAACCTCTGTAAGCCACGGAGGGCTTGGAGCAGCTGAGAATGGGCACAAGTGTCCTTCTGTGGCCTCTGTATGGACTCTTGCAGTTTCCTTGGGAATCTTGCTACACTCCTCTGACCCATTGACTGTGACCTGATGTCCTGGCAGATCTTTGCCTCCAGGAAATCCCTGACCTGGAGGCCCTCTGTTGGCACCTCTTGCTCAGCAGCATCCCCAGGGCTGTGCTCAGCTCTGCTGTGGGGCTTCTTTCTCCATGGACACAGCCACCTGCTAAAGCTTCCTGGCAGCCCAAGCTGTTACCATAGCAACGGCAGCAAAGGGAGGCAGAGCTGTACTGGTACCTAGCTGTCAGCCTCCAGATTTCAAATGTCGTGGGCTGGGTATGTTTTTCAGGATTGAGCTTCTACTTCAGAGCCAGCGGCCTGAGGTGGAGGAGATGATCCGAGATATGGGTGTGGGACAGTCAGCGGTGGAGCAGCTAGCTGTGTACTGTGTATCCCTCAAGAAGTGAGTAATTTGGCCCCTCTCAACAAGCCCCAGGGGCCGGGGGACCCTAGTTGTGCCTCTGCTGCTCATCTCTTGTAAAGCAGATGGAGTTAAGGGGCAAGCTGCCTGCATTTGAACTGACTCTGCCTCTTACCAACTATGTGGTCTGGAGCCAGTTTTTTGGCTTCTTTGACCCTCAGCTCTTTGAATGGAGATAGTAATAGACAAGCCTCCTGGGGTCATTGAAAGACTTGAGTGTGAACTAGAAATGTCATTTCTAAGGGAGCTGACATAGCTCTTTGAGCTCCCAGCCCCATTGTGATAATTGGAAGCCATTTCCCATCAATGTCGTTACTGTCCTTGCCTGGCTTGGATCAGAAACTTTGTTCATATTTTTCACTGACAGGCCTAGAGGGTCTAAGGCAGTGTAGGGGTATCCCAGTGAGACCAGGGCTTCCTGTACACCCTCTCAAGTCACCCTTGCCCAAAGGACAGGCCTGGAACAGTCACCAGGACACTTGAAGGCACTATGTGGCTTCTCTTGGGCTCAGGTGTCAGACTAGGCATGAAAATGAGCTGAGGGTTGAGTGGGGCCTTGTGTTGGGTTGATGCTGCGGGCTGGTCTGATTGGCATGATGTCCTGTTCTGGTATCTCTATGGCCACTTTGCAGAGAGTATGAAAATCTAAAAAAGGCACGGAAGGCCTCAGGGGAGCTGGCTGACAAGCTGAGGAAGGACTTGATTTCCTCTAGAAATAAGGTAACTCAGCAAGCGGCGGCGGGTGAAGAGAGTGGTGGCTATCCTTTAGTCACACACGCTCAGGTCTTCTGAGCAAGTCTGTGGGACCTGATGGCCCAGCTGATTCCATGGGGCTGTCACCGGTCCTTGCTGGGCATTGGGAAAGACTGTGGAACTTGTCCACTTGGGGTACCAGTTCAAGGAGGTATTCCCCCAATATGTGCATGCTTATGCTCCCCTCTGCTATTCCTGGTTCCTGGTACACCTCAGCTGGTGCAGAGCACAGGCCCCAAATGTGATAGCTTCAGAGACTTGTTTTTGTACCAGGCCCAATGTAAGAGGGCTCATGGAACCAGAATCATCTGCTTTCACTGCTGGCATGGCGAATCCATGAACCGCAGGAGGGCGGGAGCAGCTTTGCTCCAGGGCAGCTCTGGACATGCTTTGCTGGTCGGAGGCCTCGCCTCACACAACCGGGGTCTCCTCCCATGTCCCCATTGTCTGCTGGACCTGAAGCTACCCTGACCACTCACTGAGCAGCAACAGATGGGGCAGGCCACATGGCCACCATTTGATTTGTCCTTTACTCCCTATATTTTCTTACAGCTGCAAACAGTCTACTCTGAATTGGACCAGGCTAAGTTAGAGCTGAAGTCTGCCCAGAAGGACTTACAGAATGCTGACAAGGAAATCACGGTGAGGGAACCCCTAGCCTTATAGGATTGAGGGCTGATTTGTATCCCCTTCAAGAACAGTTGGGCTGTGTCTGTCCAGGAAACGGGGCTGTCAGTGGTGGTGAGTCTGGGTTTCCTAAATCTTCCCAGGTTGGGGTGGGGGATGGGTCAGGGTAAACACTTTGGCCCTGGTCTTGTCTGGAGTCTGGGCTTCTTTGGCAGAGTAAACAGTACCATTCCCACTGTTCTGTACCAACGTTCCTGAGATCCTTAGTTACCAGGGGCAGGCTCTTCAGCCCTGTAACTGAGCTTGGTAGTCTCGGCCTCCTGAGCCTGCTGGTGGAGTTTCAGGCCTGCTCCATTCCCAGTGAATCTGCAAAGCCTTCATGTGTGCTGCTCATGTCCTCTGAATCATCTTTGAACTTGATGCCTCAGCATTTCTCTCACACTCTTCTTTTGTTCCCCAAGAGCCTAAGAAAGAAGCTAACAATGCTGCAGGAAACCTTGAACCTGCCACCAGTGGCCAGTGAAACTGTCAACCGCCTGGTTTTAGAAAGGTTTGTTGACCCTTTGGGGTGGTACAGGAGTAACAGACTGGGATAGCTCCTGGTAAGGGTCTTCAGTCTTCCTGGCTTTGGTTGGCAGAGTGGCCTATGTGGACCCCTGCCCTAGAAGCCAGCCAAGATTTAGCTGGAAAGCAGCTTTGAGGCAAATTCTGGGTTCTGACAAGGAGAGACCAGGGAAGGCCATGGAGGACCTAGGGTGGTCTGAGGTGGTGGGGGAGGGCAGGAGCACTGACCATCTAGGGACATCCTGTTTATGGAGTGGCTTGCTGCAAGCTTCTCCATCTGCCCCCAATTCTGAAACATGAAACCACTGTTAAGATCCCCCTTGGGTTGCAGGAAATTGTGCTTTGAAACTGCCAGCAGAGGGTGCCAAGAGGCAGAGGCACAGGCATCTCTGCCAGAAGTGAGCCTTTATTCCTCTTCCTGGGAAGAAATAGATTGGCTGAGAACATCCTCAGGGCTCCCTTCTGCCTGCAAGAGGACCCCAGCTGAGGACCTAGATAGAAAACACACAGCTCCTGTCGGTGACCCAGTCTTATTTGAGCCACTTTTCAATATCCTTTGGAGAATCAATGTATTCCCTCAGAAATGTCCCTAAAACAACCCTGAGCATCACACTGTTCCCTGCCCCTGCCCCTGCCCCACCCCACCCCCAAACACCTCCCAGACCTCTTGGCCCAATGCCTGGGGAACACTCATGGAGCCAGCCTTGTGGGCTGCAGTGAAACACTGTCCACAGCACATAATACCTCTTCCCTCCCTGCTCTTGTTCCTGGGCTTCAATCCTTTTCCACCTGGGATGTGCAGCTTCCCTCAGAGCTCCCAGTTTGCCTAGCAGAAACAGCTGCCCTCGTCTGCATGGGTAGCATTTCTTAGGTCCGCTGCCATGGGCCACAAAAGTGCTTCAGAGTCCTGCTGGAGCCAGGGCACCCCAAAATTGTATGGGCCATCCTCCACTGCTTTCCCAGGCCATAGCAGAGAGCTGGATTGGAAGTAGAGCAGCCAGAACTCGAACTGGTACCCATATGGGATGCTGGCACTGCAGGAGATGGCTTTACCCACTACGCCACAGCACTGGCCCCTTCAATATTCTTCAAGTCAGCAGGACACTCCATCTGATGAGCCTGCCTCTGTCCAGAACTGGGCAGCGTTGCCTATCGAGCTGCAGGATGACTTAGTTCTGCTTTTTCTCCCACTATTTTTATCGGCATAAAATTTAGGGTGGCAAGTGTTTTGCTTTTATTGTTTTCCTCCTCCTCCTCCATTTTAAAATATATATTTATTAAAAAGAATGACAGAGAAGAGAGAATCTTCAATGCTGCTGGCACATTCCCCAAATGGCCACAACACTGGGGCTGGTCCAGGCTAAAGCTGGGAACCTGGAACTCCATCCAGGTCTCCCATGTGGGTGACAAGGGCCCAACCACTCGGGCCATCTTCCTCTATTCTCAGGCATATTAGGGGGAGCTTGATCAGAAACAGAGCAGTTAGGACTTCAACTGCACTGTGATATGGGATGTTGGTGTCAAAAGCAGCAGCTTAGTGTGCTGTACCACAATGCTGGCCCCCTTGTAACCATTTTTTAAGTATAGTTGTGTTTTTAAAGAATATTTTATTTTATTTGGAAGACAGAGTGACAGAGAGGGAGAGACAGAGAAAGAAAGAGGTCTTTCTTACATTGGTTCACTCTCCAGATGGTAGCAAAGGCAGGGCCTGGATCAGGCTGAGACCAGAAGCCTGGAACTCCTTCCAGGTCTCTCATATAACTGGCATGGGCCCAAATACTTGGGCCATCTTTTGCTGCTCTCCCAAGTGTGTTAGCAAGGAGCTGGATTGGAAGCAGAGCAGCTGGGACTTGAACCGGCTCTCTGATATGGGATGCTGGCATTGTAAGCAGTGGCTTAACCCTCTGCACATCAGCCCCTTAAGTAAAAATAGTTTTGTGCCATTAAATACATTCTCATGCTGTGCACCCATCAGCACCATTCATCTCTAGAACTTTTACATCTTCCCAAAATTAAATTCTGTACCCATTAAAGAGTAACTCCCCATTGCCCTTTCTCCCCAGCTCCTGAACCACTGTTTTGCTTTCTGTTTGTGAATTTGACTACTCTAGGAATCTCATATAAGTGGGATCATATGATATGTGCCCTGGCTTATCCTGGCTTATTTCACCTAGCATGTCTTCAAAGTTTATCCCTGTTGTAGTATGCATCAGAATTTCCTTCCTCATATTGTAAATTTGCAAGTTATTTTTCTTGCTCTTTGAGTACATTTGCAGTACATGCTGTTCTTGTTTTATGTCCTCACCTTTCTGCTTGTATCAAGGTCAGTGTTTGTGCATCACAGCCTTTTTCTTGAGCTTGCCTCCCACTAGTGGCCTTGGCTGCCTACAGCCCTCTCATTGTGAGATAATAGGAAGGCTCCCTGGAAGCCCAACTTCTCTGGGGTGGGTTAGGGGCAGTGTGCAGTGAGTTGCATCATGCTGAGTCTTAACTGAACCCAGGATGCAAAAGGCTTTATTATCCGATATTAGCTGCCCCAGGTCACCACAAGTGGTTAGTTTTGTGTCTTTGGGAAAGGCTCTTCCATTTCCTGACCCAAGGTAGCAGCCTGACTGCCTAGTATTCTTTCAGTACAGATGTCAGAAGGGGTGGAGCTGATTTCACACCTTCTATCACTGCCCCAGTTTTCAGGCTTCTTTAAAGGCTCTGTCCTTTTATTCAGAGCCCCTGCCTTGTGAGTTCTGGCCCCTGGCCATGCTCTTTCCCCCAGAATTTTGTGGGACTCTCTGGGTTCTGATTGTGGCTGCCCATTCCATTTGTTACAGCAGGATTTCTGCAACAATTTTAGGGAGGCCTCAGGAAATAGACACTGCCCCAACTATAGAGGGGGATGTTAGGCAGACTGACTTCTTATGGGTTTCAAGGGCCCCTGACCCCCAGACTGGAGAGAGTTGAGGAGGCCTATGCTTTTAGTAGGGCCTCCACAAGATGGAAATTCATGGAGGAGACATTGACTGGTCCCATGGCACTTAGAAAGTGGGTCTACCCAGGGCCTCAGCTCTGTTTTGGAAGGCGGCTTGAATCATCTGGCCCCATTTCTTGAGGCTCTGGCATGAATCCGTGTAAGGTAGCCATGGGTGTATATCTCTAGAGTGGTGGATGGCGTCACCTGGATGGCCTCAAGTTAACCTTCAACCAGTGAAGGAACTGCTACTGAATTGAGGCTTTTCCTCCTCACAGGACAGACAGAACATGGAAAGGAAGAGAGTGGGCCCCAGGCAGGAAGGGAAACAGGCTTTAAGCTCAAAGGAAGAAGGATGTACCAGGAACAATTTGAGAAAACAAGAAATGTGTTCATGTGGGCCAGATGTGGGTGTAGGGGATGAGGGAGGCACTGTGAAAACTTCCTGAGTCTTGAGCTGATTGTTGTGAATGGCAGTTGGTGCAAATGACAGAGACGATGTTGGCTTAAGTCAAGGGTGAGCATGTACCTTGGCAACCGTTGGTCAAGGCCTGAGAGGGTAATGGTAGGAAGTCTTGCCATGGGCCACTTGGAGGGTAAAATGACTGCACCCAGCCAGACCCTTGCCTGCCTCTTGAGTTCACCTTTCACAGCCTGAGGCTGAGCTTGCTTGGGTTGGTAAATCGCACAGAATGATGGAAACTATAAAAAAGTTGACATGAGCTGTCCTAACTGCTGCCTTATGCTGTGGATCCCAAGGAGAAACAAAATAACCCATTGGAGCTAGCATGAGGAGGGTTTGTGCAGCTTTCATTTCCACTTGTGGGCAAAGAAGAAGAATAGAACTTCCAGGGCCTGACCAGGGAAAGGAGATGGTCCAGGCTCTCTGTGGCTTCCCCATTCCAGATCTCACTGACAGTAGCTCCCTTCCCTCTGATCTGCACACCATAATGGGAGTGGGCTCTAATGCAGCCCTAAAGTTCTGAGGGAAGGAAAGAGGGGGTATCCTTGAAGCTCCTCCTGCCAGTCCCCAGGGTTGTCCTCAGATCTGCTCCTGCCAGGTCAGGTGGGCTAGAAGAATCCCGCTGAGCAAAGTTTTCTAACAGAATTCAACTCCCACCACCTTCGATAAAAGTAAAAACCTGCCTGTTGAGAATTTGGAAAATATAGTTAGCACAGAGTAGTTACTGTTGGACATGTAGTATATTTCCTTCCAGTCCTTTTTCTACATGTGAAGGTCAGGATGGGGTTGAGTAGCAGCATGTACTCCAAATCATGTGATTGCATTCTATTGCGTATTAAATTCAATATACGAAAGTCTGGTGCTGTGGTGTAGCTGGTAAAGCCACTGCCTGCAGTGCCGGCATCCTTTATGGGTTCGGTTCAAGTCCCAGCTGCTCCACTTCTGATCCAGCTCCCTGCTAATGCGCCTGAGAAAGCAGATGGCCCAAGTAGTTGGACCCCCACACCCATGTGGGAGACCTGGAAGAAGATCCTGGCTCCTGTCTTCGGCTTGGCCCAGCCCTGGCCAATGCTGCCATTTGGGGAGTGAACCAGCAGATAAAAGATTCTCTCTCTCTCTCCCTCTCTCCCTCCCCACCCCGCTCCGCCTCTCTGCCTCTCCGTAGCTCTGCCTTTCAAATAAATAAACATATATTTTAAAAAATTTAACATATGAACATTTCCCCATGTTCTTAATTTTATTCTCCAGAAATACTACTTTAATGCCTACATCATATTCAAGCTATAGAAGTGCCATCCCCCTAGGGGAGTCACATTGATGGCTTCATACCAGTACTCATACCAATTGCCGTAACAAGTAGCAGCACCACAGAGGGACAGAGGGGAACATGGCCTCATTGATCAATGCAATGTCTCTGGCTGCCCCCTTGCACTGCATACTGAGAAACGAGGCTCCGTGTTAAAGGGCAGTAGTCTTTTGTTTCTTCACAGGGTTTTGTCTCGGGTTTTGCTTGCTTGCTTTCCTGTCTTCTAGACATTCACTGGTCCTGTGACTGTGTAGACGACTGGCCCAAGTGGTTTATTCTCTAGAGATCAGGGCTTCCCTGAGGGTGGGCCCGAGTCAGGAGGTGGTTTCAGGCCCTTGGAGCTGAGCCGAGCTGTCTCTGGTGTTTGAAGGGCTGTTGTCCTTCTGGGGTGCCCCTGTGGTCCCAGCTAATCAGGCCTTCTCTGTCTTCAGCCCAGCTCCTGTGGAGATGCTGAACCTGAAGCTCCGCCGGCCATCCTTCGGTGATGACATTGACCTCAATGCTATCTTTGATGTGAACACTCCCCCAGCCCGGCCCTCCAGCTCCCAGCATGCTCACTGCAAGAAGCCCTGCATGGAGAAGGCACAGTGAGTGTTGGTTCCTGGCACTGTCCATGTTCTGGAGGAAGAATGGCTAAGGCCTATCTGTAGGCAGTACTCTGACAGCTCTGAGTGGCTGATGGGGCAGTCAGGGCTGCCTGGCTTTGGTTCCAGCCAACTCTTCTTCCCTCTTCTGAGCACTTAACCTGTGCAGAGTTCTTCTCTTGCTTGTCTCATTAATCCTCACCATCAGCCTTCAATGCAAAGTGTTGAGATGCCAGTTAGAACACAGGGATCCCTGTAGGGGCAAGTCTGGGCTAGTGCTGTTCAGGGGTTGCTCCCCGTCCCTTGATGGCCTGCCCATCAGGTTCCTGAGCCAGGGATTCTGAGCTTCCTGTTAACATTTTGTGCCTTTAAGATTCATGCTTGAGACAGAATCTTCTTAAACCATAGCGCTCAGGGCCCCATCACCCAAGGGAGTAGCCCAAAAGGGCAGGGCCGGCGCCGCGGCTCAATAGGCTAATCCTCCACCTGTGGTGCTGGCACACTAGGTTCTAGTCCCAGTCAGGGCGCCGGATTCTGTCCCAGTTGCCCCTCTTCCAGTCCAGCTCTCTGCAGTGGCCCGGGAGTGCAGTGGAGGATGACCCAAGTGCTTGGGCCCTGCACCCCATGGGAGACCAGGAGGAAGCACCTGGCTCCTAGCTTTGGATCAGTGTGGTGCCATTGGAGGGTGAACCAATGGTAAAGGAAGACCTTTCTTTCTGTCTCTCTCTCACTGTCCACTCTGTCATGTCAATAAAATAAAATGAAATGAAATGGGTAGGCATGGTCTGAGGAGCTGCAGTGAGGCAGATGGGAACTGGACTATGGGTGTAATGGGACTGGGAAAAGAGTCTGTTTCCTTGGCCAGGCGTGCCATGTGTGGTTCTTAGGAAGACAAGAACTCTTCCCACTTATGCCTGAGGGTATATGCTAAGGAAATTTAAGGCTGATCAGATTTCCTCTTAATCAAAGGGTGAGCATGAGAGAAAGAAATTGAGACGGTAGTCAGTGGGGATAGAATAAGACAAGGCAGCTGGACTAACTGCCTCTCCCCAACCGGAGGGGTATTGGCACCCCTGCTATATGGGGCCCAGCCTCATATCAGTGAGAAACAAACCCAGGGCTTGTGGGTGGTAGTCAGGAGCGCATCAGTGCCTGCTCCATAATCTGACTTCCTCTTCTTCAGCTGTGAAGATTGAAGATGGGCACCTGGGTCTTCCGAGGCCCTTACCCCACTTTCATGGTCTGTGGGGCAGTGAGGGAGCGCAGGATGCATTTAACTCAGCTTTCCTAGAACCAGTAAGAGCAGTTTTCTCACAGCTGTCATGCAGCCTCATTGCAGGCTATGGGGACAACAGCATAGAGTCCAGAGTCGGCTGGTCCTGAGCTTGTTCCTGTCCTCATGACATGAGGAGCCAAAGAGTCAGACTTAGGTCACCATCTTCCCACTCACCTGGGAAAATACCAGGAGAGGATATCCAGCTTCTAGGATCCCTAAAAGTGGGTGGCAACATGTTGTCCAACTCGGGCTGGGAGTGAGAGTCCAGGGCCTGAGAGCCTCCTGCACAGATCCTCTAGGGAGATGACCTGACTTTGTGGTCTCTGAGTACTTTGTGGGGCACCTTACTAAGGGTCTCATGGAGGCAGTGCCTCTTTTCTAGGCAGACACGACAAGACCTGAGTTCATTAGATGCCTTCCGCCTCTTGTGTGACTGCTTTGCATGACTGGGTGGTGAATTGGAGTTTTGCGTTGCTTATTAAATTTACATGGAGTTTTGTAAGTTTTTTTGAGATTTATTTATTTATTTGAAAGGTAGAGTTACTGAGACAGAGATCTTCCATCCACTGGTTTACTGTTCAAATGGCCACAACAGCCAGGAATGGGCCAGGCTGAAGTCAGGAGCCTGAAACTCCATCTAGTTCTCCCATGATGGGTGGCAGGGGCCCAAACTCTTGGGCCACCTTCCACTGCTTTCCTAGGCACATTAATAGAGAGCTAGATGGAAAGTAGAGCAGCCAGGACTTGAAGATGCTGGCATCTCAAGCAGTGGCTTAATCTGCTGTGCCACCATGCTGGCTTAGGGGTTTTGTAAATTTAGTGTTCATGTAAAACCTGAGACATGGTGATGATAACATGGACCTGGGAAACATTAGAATTTGGCTCGGGGCTGGCTCTGTGGCATAGCAGGTAAAGCCACTGCCTGCAGTGCAGGCATCCCATATGGTTCAAGTCTCAGCTGCTCCACTTCCAGTCCAGCTCTCTGCTATGGTCTGGGGAAGAAGTTCAAAATGGCCCAAGTCCTTGGGCTCCTACACCCTCGTGAGAGACCCAGAAGAAGCTCCTGGCTCTTGGCTTTGGATCGCCACAGCTCCAGCTGTTGTGGCCAACTGGGGAGTGAACCAGCGGATGGAAGACCCTCTCTCTCTCACTCTCTGCCTCTCTCTCTCACTCTCTGCCTCTCTCTCTCACTCTGCCTCTCTCTCTCTCTCTGCCTCTCCTTCTCTCACTGTATAACTCTGACTTTCAAATAAATAAATACATCTTTAAAAAAAAAAAAGAATTTGGCTCTGAGTGGAAGTCAGCGTAGGACATGGTCCCGTCTCCTTGCCTCCACCACTCTTTGGCTGTGGCTGCCCATCTACTCCCAGACCTGCATTTGGGTTGGGGGAGCACTGACGCTTCATAGCCATGCTATGCAGTGGCGTCCCCAAAAGCATGTGCTGAGCCTGGCCTTGATGTCTTGCTTACCCGCTTTTGCCTTCATATCTCATTTTCACAGCTCTCCTGATCAAGACGTCTCCAAGAAGGTAGCCAAAGGCTCCAAGCAGGTAAGGGCTTCCCAGAAGCAGCTCAAATGGTCACCAACTCTTGTCAGCACTGGGCATGGAGCTACATGTCTGGGAGGGCAGGATCTTCCTAGAGCCCTCTCACTGCTGACCCAGGACAGACATTTTGGAGTAATCCTTGGGTCCCTACTCAGTACCTTCCTGTCTGCTGGTGAGGCGTCAGAGATCCCAATCTTGTTCCACTACCCTTCCTGCTTTGTGACCATCTGGTGCTCTGGGTTTCTCCCCTCCAGGAGCCCCAGCTCTTGCTGGGTGGCCAGCGCTGTGCAGGAGAGCTAGATGAGGAACTGGCTGATGCCTTCCCTGTCTTCATCCGCAATGCTGTCCTGGGCCAGAAGCAGCCCAAAAGGGCCAAGACAGAGTCCTGTCGAAACACAGATGCTGTGAGTGTGGCTTCCCACAAGTGACCAGGGGCCAGCCCTCTCAGGTGGGTTGGGGAGCTAGTCTCCTAACCTAACCTCATCTCTTCCTTCTGCCCTAGGTAAGAACAGGCTTCGATGGGCTTGGAGGCCGGACAAAATTCATTCAACCTGTATCCTTGTTCTGTGGTGGTAGTCTGAGCTGCACTGTGGTGCCCACATGTTCCTAACCTCTACCCCCAGATCCCAGCCTGCCAGTGCCTGCAGCCTCAGATGTGCAGTGCTAGGACTTGCTCAGTGTAGCAGGGCTCCCCACCCGCAAGCCTGAGCTCTCCTGCCCTGCATTCCAGTCTCCTCTCCAGGCCTCTTCCTTAGCATCTCCTCCAGACTGACATTGCCGTGATCCGCCCACTGCCTGTTAAACCCAAGGCCAAGACCAAACAGAGAGTAGGAGTGAGACCTCTGAACCCTCCCTCCCAGGCCAAGATGGACACCTTCCTGTGGCAGAGAGACCAGTGAATCTGAGCAGTGCTTCTGACTTGTAGGTCAAGGACTGGCCAGGCCAGGGTTTTGGGGGGATGGCCCCTCTTCACCAGTCTTGGGAGCAAGGACAGCAAGCAGGTGAGAGTGACAGTGACACCCAGACACTATGCTCTTCCTGCACTTACTCTGCCCCACTCCCATCACAGTGGGCCTGTCTTTTGGAGCTGATATGGTCAATTCGCTGTTCTTGTGAACAGCCCATTCCTGGTTCTGGGATTCTATTTATAGCCATTATTAGATTGGTTGGGTTCCTTCTGGTCCTAGAGACCAGGCTCATGTGTTGACTGGCTTTATGGACCAAAATGCTTGAGGACTTTAATCTTCTACCTGCCTCTGACCTGCTAGGCATGACTGGGCAATAGGGGATGGTGTGGGGAGAGGATCGTGAAAGATTTCTATGTAAAATAAAGAAAGAATCTCTTCTTCCTGGCTCTGGGAGTATAAATTTGTACCCTTTAGAAAAGTGTTTAACATGACCATTTTTTTAAGATTTACTTATTTATTTGAAAGGCAGACTAACAGAGAGGAGAGAAAGAAAGATCTTGTATCCACTGGTTCATTGTCCTAATGACCACAACAGCCAGGTCTGGGTCAGATGGAAGCCAGAAGGCAGGAACTCCATCCAAGTCTCCCACATAGATGACAGGGGCCCAAGCACTTAGGCATCCTCCACTCCCTTCCCAGTTGAATTAGCAGGGAACTGGATCAGAAGTAGAGTAGCCAAGACTCAAAAACAGCACTCTAATATGGATGCCAGCGTTGGTGAGTGATGGCTTAACCTGCTGTACTATAATGCCAGTGCCCTAACATGGCTCTCTGAAGCAAGCACATCACCCAGACTCAGATCCAGCAGTTCCTTAGGCATGTGCCCTTTCACAGGGCACAGGGAGATTTTAGCAAGAATGAGATCATGGCAACTTTGTCCACAGGCTCTAACCTGGGCACAACAAAAGGCCATAAGCAGAAAATAAATGGGTAAACCAGGATCTCTCCAGCAGCAAGCTCATAGCAAACACAACAAATCACTAGTGTCTTCTGCCCCTTCCTCCTCACTTCTAAGCCCTGACAGCCAAATTGCTGGTCTTTGGATTTCACTGGACTCAGAAAAGTCTATTGATTCCTTACATACCAGCGATGAACAACTGGAATTTAAATCTGAATACATAATACCACTTACACCAAAAAAAAAAGAAATACTTAGGTGTAATTCTTTTTTTTTTTTTTTTTTTAAGATTTATTTATTTATTTGAAAGAGTTACGCAGAGAGAGAGAGGTCTTCCATCCGCTGGTTTACTCCCCAGTTGGCCACAATGGCCGGAGCTGGGCCATTCCGAAGCCAGGAGCTTCTTGCGGATCTCCCACGCAGGTGCAGGAGCTCAAGAACTTGGGACATCTTCTGCTTTCCCAGGCCATAGCAGAGAGCTGGATTGGAAGTGGAGCAGCCAGGACTTGAACCGGTGCCTGTATGGGATGCTGGCACTGTAAGCAGCAGCTTTACCCACTATGCCACAGTGCCGGCCCCTAGGTGTAATTCTGAGAGAGTATATTCAAGATCTATGTGCTAAAAACTGTAAAACTCAAGCAAAAGAATTAAGACCTAAATAATGGAGAGAAGCTCCATGAAGGAGCTTCAACATTGTCAACATATCAGTTCTGCCCCAGCGAGCCCTGACACGGGTGTGATGGCATCGAGTTGCAGGCAACCCTGGAGCTTATTGAAGCACCATGTCCAGAAGCCAGTGTGCGACACGCGGCCCAAGTATCAGGAGGGACGCTGACCCTGTGCTACCAAGTTGTACACAATCAATTTGGAGTCTCAGTACTTATTAATAACAAGTCATTCATGCGGTGGGCGCCATGAAGGAATTAGTTGAGCGATTTGCTCTGTGTGGTGCAATTGAGAAGTGCAATGATTAGATGAATACCCAGTGGAGGGTTTAACAGAAGTCTGTCTAAAATT